CGACGAGAATGATTTAGCAAAATGCCCAGACAGGATGAAACCCTTGTTGTCAAAACTCTTGAAATTCTTACGCGTAGGTGGTCACGTCTATTCGGATTGCTACCGCAAACAAACAGGAGGAGTCATCAAAGCAAAATACAATCGGTTGTACTTTTTTTTGGTTTCGCCAGCTCTGAGGTGAGTATACAAAGAACGGTGAGATACTATAACCTCTTTATAATATGGACGGACAAAAAAGTCTTCCTCCCTTTGTAGCGTCCTGGTTTTATTTTCATTACTAGCTTTTTTCGGGGGAGGCAGGGGATCCGCGATTGTGTTTTTTACCCTTTGAACAATATGTAGACTTTGTTGAGTTTTATAAAAGGGCGAAGGGTAAAGAAAAAAAAGGTCCATTCTTTACTCGCCTACGGGGAATAATAGTTTAGTTATTACAGTGTTCTGGATTATTAAAATTGTATTAATTAGCAACACATCAACTTAAATTCAGTACATATTGCATTGGCTGACGTTTTTAACTCACTAAACCAATATTAAAGATAGAATATAATCCGGGGCCGAAATCCCACCTGTAATACTTAAAACACATTATTTGTTCAATGCTTCCTTGAATACAGGACTCTTTCATAATCATTGGATAACCAATTTTATTATGCCATTATTTAAAAATGGCAGCAGGAAACGACATAATTAATTTAAAGACCATTATTACAATTAATTAATGTTTTTAGTTGAGATAAAAAAGTCAATGGCACGAGCGGGATTCGAACCCACGATCTTCGGCTAGATACGCCGCTGCTCTACCACTTGAGCTATCGTGACCTCGATCCACTCGGACACCAACTTCCCATCTCAACCGCACCTTTTGAATTTCCCGCTCGTGCCATTGACTTTTTTATCTCAACTAAAAACATTAATTAATTGCAATATATTAATTGGTCAAGCGGACAGCGAAATTAGTGAATTTAATGATTTAAAATGAAGTATTCTTCACTAAAGCTCTCCGCGGCCATTTCATTTGTCGTCGAGAATCCAATCCGATTACACGACATTTGAAAAATGGCAAAAAGGAGGGAAAATTCAAAAGGTGCGGTTGAGATGGGAAGTTGGTGTCCGAGTGGATCGAGGTCACGATAGCTCAAGTGGTAGAGCATCGGCGTATCAAGCGGAAGATCGTGGGTTCGAATCCCGCTCGTGCCATTGACTTTTTTATCTTAACTAAAAAAACCTTAATTAATTATAATTATTATTATTATAACACGCTTCCTGCGTTTGAGTAAAATTTATCAGTGCTGATTAAGCTAATGCATTGAGTAGAGAGGCACCCTGTATAAATTTGTTTTATTGAAAACCGAAAGCGTAAAAATGACATCATTCTCGTGGACTATCAGCATCTCTTATGAAATTGTAGGCTGTTTTCATTCAAAATAATCTTCGAATATGCCGGACCCGGTCGACGTTTGAAAAGAGAAGCTTCTCGAAATTACACATTAAGTTGGATTGAAGGCAGAGCGGCCTCTAATTTGCAAGGTGAGTACACTTGAGTAGGTCTTCGAGTCAATTTTCTTCGGCTACCGGGTGCGACGTTTTACGGCGCCGGCACCGAACATTTAAACTATTCCTTATTAGTTCGAAAAACTGGTGGTTACCGGCAATTTAGCCCTTCGTTCAACGATCCCTCTTGTCCTAAATGTCGCAATTTTCCCCCAAAAAAATTGTAAAGCCGAGCCTACTTTTCGAGCGGTTCCGTGAGATATCTTTCAAGCTAATAAATGGAAAATACAGGGCCGTGGTCTCGTCGGGGTGAAATTAATGTCAATCAACCCTTCGGCCTTTATGGGAAATTGGTTGTTGGTCGAGGAAAACCGCTTAGAAATCTCGAGACAATTACCGGTCATTAAGGGATGTCAGATTCGCCGTCGCCCGCATTCAATTAATTTCACTACCTGTTCTATACCGATAATAAACAAGTTGATACATTTAATGGTTCTAGTTACCAATTACCATCTTTATGACAAGGAAAACGTTACAAAAACCCTCTTTTCCCACGTGACCCTGTGAGCCATCCTAAAAAGAAATTGGCATATTGATAAGCCGTTAAATAAATATATTGTCAAAAACCAAATATTTAACCAAAAAATATATTTTTTTAATATAAAAAAAGGTTTTCTTAAAACAAGAAATCGGTGTGCTCAAAATGGGTCATGATCGATTTTCTTTGGCTTATTCTGTATCGTATCCCCAAAATCTTCAACTTCCTGCTAAACAGTTTAACTTAATAACTATTGAGTCTAGTCAGGATCAAAATATTAAAACGTTTTCGGAGTCTGAAGTACTTAAAAAAAGTATCATACTGGCTTCTTTAAAAAAAAAAAAATTATTACAAAATATTAATCACTGAAACTATGGTATTTGGATTTGTACTGGGTAAAAATCAATGAAACTTGAGCGGCAAGCTTCTGATTTTTCCTTCTCGAAGGTGGAATAATAGGTCATCTCAAAAATATAACAACCAGCTTTTTTCAATCCACGCGTTTCGGATTTACGGATGGACCGGACCCACCCGGTCACAAAACAATATTCTGTGCCAACTATCACCTGCCTCGGTAGCGCAGTAGGCAGCGCGTAAGTCTCATAATCTTAAGGTCGTGAGTTCGATCCTCACCCGGGGCAGATATTTTTAGCTGGCGGACTCGATGAAGTCCATGATTAAAAACGTTTTTGTAGTAAATATTTAATTTTAATTCTACATTAATAACTTCTCAGTATTGTAACTATTTTATGCTGACGATGCCAAAATCTACCTGTCCTATCCCTATGAACTACCATTGGCCATCTCTAAGATCCAGAAAGACCTAAATTNTATACTTATATATGAAAATGTCAAACAATTTTTATATTTTATAACTTTTAAATTTAATGAAATCAAAACTCAACATGTTTGAAAAAGCCCAAAGCCGTAGAATCTTGTGATAGCAAGATTATCTTTGCTTTTAATACGGGTTAACATTTGTCAATCTTACATTGCGTAATAAATCCAATAATTCAATGTTTCAAACTTTTTTCCCTTGCCCAATAAATATTTAGAATTTTAAAGAAAATATGTTTTAATTGCATTAAACTGCCAGTTAAAATAAAACTTATTTACTCCGTTGAATTGATTAGATTTACCGATTTTTTACACATTTTTTGTTTGCTGTACAAATAAGTCACAAAATTGCTTTGGCACTGTAATCATATTAAAATCCGAGGTTACATTAAGTATTTATCTGATGCTTACCTGCTTAATCCCACCCTCTATCATTTGGTAAATTTTCTTTATGAGTACAAGCATATCTAGTATTGAGTTGATTTGTTCAAAATGAGTACCACTTACATTTTGGTTAGGTTAAAAGGAGTCATAAAGCATCTGGAATTGAGTTAAAATGAATTGTCCAAAAATTTAACTCATTGACATTTAGGTTGGGTTAGGAGTCAGTCTCTTTACTTCCATACCTTGCATTGCAGCCAATATGGGCCTATTGTGATCTCCATCATTATCTAGAGCTTTTATTAAGTTATTTGGTAAGCTTACGGCATTTCATCATAACCCAAAGCTTGGAGGGCTGTATATCCTTCAGGCCTTGGCTTTTCCTCTCCCCATTAATTGGAATCTCAGCCTGCAAAGGACTTTGTACCAACGGAGGTTATGTTGTTTCTTCCTGGCAATATCTGAACAAGCTTTATGCCCTTTGGGTCTATCCACACATTACTCTAGAATCCTAGGTTCTAGTAGTTCTACTGTTTGATTCTGTGGCAGACCCTTGTCACGTGCTCTTGTTGTTGAATACAATTCCATTCGAGGACTTAATTCTTAACCCATTGTCTGATGGATTTTTTACAATTTGGTATATTTCAAAAAGATTCAGGGCCGATAGGTGTCCCGATTGAACTTGAACTCTACAAACTTTAAAAAAACTCACTAATCAGTACAGGTTTCTCAGAGCCTGAAAAGCAAATTTTTTAAATTCTTTCAAGCGATTAATGAAGATGAGTAGGTTCTTCAAAGAAACCCTGACACGTTTGAGAACATGACTACTTCAACATTATTTCATCATTTAAAAACTGAAGGCCTGAAAAAATAAGATGAATCTAGATGAGATCATCAAGCAAAGAACACTGAATATGAAGAAGAATCTGTACTTTGGTTGTTGGCCGTTCATTCTCTGCCTAATGTCACAGTTTTATGTTTTATAAGTAAAATGAACCATCAGTGAAGATGGTAAGAAGCCGAAAACATGGATGTTATTTTTTCTTTTTTTTAAATATGTATTTAAATTTGAATTGCTGGCAAACTTTTGCAATAAGGAAGTTTTATCAGTTAACCTTTAATTTGCCACCCTGATGAGTTCTCCATGTCTGGAGTGCCTACACAACCGGAATAATATTTTAATACCAGCAATAAGGAAATATTTATGGAAATAGAAAGGAAAGCCGACGATTACATATTTACTTATATTCAATCTGTAATGTTTTTCTTAATTTAGAAACAGTTTTTCCACATAATAAATTATGGTAAAATATTTCATTAACAATATTCTAATTAGCTACATTCTGACCAAATTTAGACAATTGCACACCTAAAACATCTAATTATCACAATTATCAATTAGGTATAAAAAGCTTATTGTATTTGGGTTTTTTATTTTGTGCTATTTACCAATACTTATAAAAAAGAAGGAAAAAACATGCATCTACAATTTATTTGAATAAAAATTGCAAATAGCAGTTTAAAAATAATTAATACCTTAAACTATCACAAAATTTGAAAGGATTAAATGCTAATAAGCCATTTTCCTTAAGTCTCCCTATAGTATTTTTTTTACCATATTTATTATTATAATTTTTTTTTAGCTTAAATAGCATGGCATGCAAAAATTTTCCCTATTTTTCCTAAATATATCTTTTGTTCTTGAATCATACGATACACACTAGAAAAATTATTTTCAATATTTTAAAAAATCTTTTCTTTTTAAAAGTTTATTATAAAAAGGCTTCAAAAGTCACATAGTACAGGAGCATAATAAATTTATGAGTATCCAAAATAAATTTTAAAAAATTGTACCCGTCCAAAACACCGGAAAAAAAAAATTCACTTGTATATATATTTCTACGTTGAAATCTGGACCGTCGAGCATGTAGATTGAGTTTTATTATAATTTTATCTTGTTTGCTCAACCAATAAATTTCATCTAGAAAAAAAAATACGTGAAAGAATATAAATTTAAATTTTAGTATTTAAAAATAAAAAAAAAGCAATGAATTTAAAATAGTCAGCGGAAGACAAATAAACTGCCGATGGACGGAAATGAGTAGAGAGCCTCGTGTGTCAAGCTTAATCTTAAACTCAAACGTGATGTTTCTAATTTTTTCAACGTTTACAATATCACTACATAACTAACATAGTTTACATATAAAATAAAAATAAATAAATGTCTACTCAAAAAAATCACAATTTTTTTTACTGTTTTCACCAATTCTTGCAGAAATCTGGTAACATACCATTTTTAGTGTTTTGTCAATGGTATTTATTTTGCTATCACAGAAATCCTTTGTTTTCTCATTTCTCACTTCACGTATTTTGAAGATTCGATTGACTAGAATTAAACGGTATTTACAACTTTATTAAACCTCCTTTTCGGATATTTGTTCAAAGGAAGATGTCGAAGTGTCACTCGAAGGGGTTATTTCGCCGTCTTTCTCTCCGGTGTCTTCATTTTTCTGTCCATCTTCCTTGGATTCTTTGATCTCTGAGACAAGGGAAGCTAAAACACAAATAAATTTAATATAAAAATCGTATGAAAACCAATTAAATAAGCACTAACAAGGAGCATCAATATTACTGGCGAGATCTGTTCCCTGGAAAATCTCAGCCAGCTGAGACTTGAGTTCAACGCCTTCTTCCGGTACGCCCACAAGCTCAGGAGGCTCGTCCTCTTCATTGATTTCTTTGGTGAACCAAGGTGCAATAATCTGATGGAGTGTGACTAGAGCTATGTTAACTGTTATTATCGTTGATAATCGGTATAATGATGTTTGGGCAAAAATCATGACGAGTACTGCCGATGTGAATACAAAGTGACTCACGGTTTTGCTCCCAGCCCTGGAAAAAATTCCAGTTTATGATTGATCAGATAAATTTGTTATTTGAGAAAAAAAATTGTCATTTATGACAATATAATTTTATAAATTCAGAAATATTGTAATGAAGAAAACATATTTTTTTTTTAAATACTAATAATAATATTTAGATGATTAGAAAAATAGTATTATAAGAATTAAAATTAAATTTATTTATTTGATAGAAAATTTGTACTGATAACTTACAGTCCTGTCCTTGGGAATTCAGACTGCCATAGAACACCTGCACATATTGTCAAAATAACACAATTTATGTACCCAGGATCTGGATCGAGTTTCGAACTGTATCTACGTTGAAAAAGATAATTAGTTTTTTAAACCTCATTTCAAAATTTAAAGAGAAATACCTGTAGTTTTTAGCCCAGACGAGCACGCTGGGTACGTTTATAATAGCAACTTGTGTCCAGAGCATCAGTAGCGTCAAATGAAAGCTGATGTCGTCTATAGAAGGGATCTGGAACGTTGGAATTTCAACCGACTTGTCCTTCCTCTGTTTAAGTTTGGCTTTAAGAGCCCTGAGCGGCCAGTAGACGATCTCCTCCCAAAAGTCCTCGTACAGAGTTATCATCTGAAATTAAATTTTATTATCACTTCGAGTGTATTGTCAACTGGTAATTTTTACCTTAAAGCAATAGAATCCCAAGCCGATGCAAACCGCCAAACCCCCACAAGCTGTATAAGCGACAGTCATCATAAAAGCGGACACAACAAGCGGCACTTTGATCGCTCCGCTCAGTGCGTACTCAGACAGCCAAGCCAAACCAAAGAAAAACTTACTCAAAAACCTAAACAAACACAAGCATTAATATATTTAATTATAGTTAATGCCATTAGGAAATATTACTTTAAAATAATCCCGTTGTAAGCTTGCCCTTGAAACACGATACCAACAATCAATCCTAACCCGACAATGTAAGTTAAACAAAAAGCGACCAAATACAGAGCGACAGGAATGACAAGCATTTCTATCATCCCGCTGTTGTTTCTCGTGTCGATTGATGGGATGAACGGAATGTAGTTCGCAAAGTGCCTAAAGACAGAGAAAATTGACACGACGTACATTATAAACAAAACATCGATCGAAAACTCACTGTGCTATCGCCGTCGTTATGGCGGAGGCTTGCATCACGATGTAAGGCTTGCCCGCCAAAGGCATCGCCGTATGCAAAAGCGGACAGCTGAGATTTTCCTTCATAGATTTGATCTGGTAAGCAAGCGTTAGGAGGAGACAGACAGACACATAAGTGAACACGGAAATGCCCTGTTTTGAAATTACAGCGCTTATTCCAGGTAGGAACGTTCTGCTCAACCTGAAAAACAAAAATGCAAATAAAGAGATAACAAAACAACATAAATAACACTGATAATATTATCCACTTTCAGTTTGTAAAATAAAATAAAAAGTCATCCACCTAGCTTTGTAGGCAGTAGTCAAAGTTTTCAAATAGTTCTAATTATTTTTATTTTTTTGTTAATTGCTAATAAATCTCTGCTAATCTAAGGATATTCTTATGGAAAAAAAGATAACATTTCTCAATATATCTAAAAGTAAGTAATTTTATATTTTTACTACACTCCATTTGTAATTATACATTTTTATTATATAAATTTGAACTTAAATAAAGCACATTTCAACTTATACTACATTAGATATAATACTCTTACTAGGGACAAAAAAAAAATTGTCTCAAAAGCAGCAATTTTATATTCTGAAGTTTTATTTCATCAAACAAAAAAAAAAAAATTATACTCACTTTATTCTGTAAGCACATTGATGATTGAGAAAGAATTCGACTTTTACATTTCCAACATCTTTCCCTACTGGTTTTGAAGAATGCAAGAAAACTGGTACCAAACCGCTTGATCCGCTACACAAAAAAATCAATTTAATATTTTACGACTAAGTGTTATATTCAATATAAAAAAAAACCCCTACTTAATTAGAAGCTTTGAGCCTTCGTGGTTCCAAGGGACGTTGACGTAGACTTCGGCGAGATCTGGAGAAGTGCAGTTTTTCGAACTGATGCTGAATACGTACGTCTGCCAGATTTTCTGCAGGCTCGACATCTCAACGGCGTAATAAAGCGCTCCCCAGCTGTTCTCTTCTAGGACGACAGTGCTTGGAAGATAATCCATAGACCCTTCGATCGTACGAGCCCGTTTTTTGAACAAGTCCAAAGAGATTTTGACCTGAAAGAAGGAAAATTAAACTCTTTATATAGAGAAATATTTGAATTTAAAACATACTTCTTCACTATTTGGAAGTGTTCTAATGACTACATGCGAATAGCCTGTCATTCGTAAATGTGAAAGATCAATCAGTGCTGATTTTCTTTTCTTCTTTGAGGTCAGTGATATTTTAGCTTTCCCTGACAAATTGGTCGCCGTTTTGCTATCGAATAAAAAATGTCTAGTGTTATTTCACGAGCATTGAAAGCGCAGGTTTTCACTCACCAAATCCTCATGCGGTTTACAGTGGTATCAACAACGCAAGCAAATATCCAATCGCGGTTTTCATGGTTTTCTGTCAAAACTGCCAAAGTGTCAGCGGCGGTTGCGAGGGATACAGTTATGTGAGTCGTTTTATCGACGTACTTTTCAAACCATGTCATGTGACTCCCGACCATCGGAATCCAACTGTGCTGCATTTTATTGTTGTATAAAATCACTTCTGATGGGTATCGGGCTGAATGAAACCTCTTGGAACCACTTCTCTAAAATGTCAATGATTGTAGCGCATTCGAGACTTTTTTAAAATAAATCTTTTAAAGAAATTTACTTCTAAAAAGTGATACTCAAAAATATCTTTCCTGAGGGCAACATCATCTGTGATTTGTTTAGTTTTAAGGTCTACACTGTCAAAAAGAGACCTGACAATTACAATAATCAGTTCCCGACACCACAAAATACAAAGATGGTCAACTGAGAGCCACACTTCAGGTATCAAAGATGTCTAAAAAAGTTTATATTATATTAAAATAAATGTACCAAATTTATTTTAAGATATGTTCAGTAAAACGCCGACAAAACATAGGAGAATTAAAAAATTACACTTACAACAACACTGATATCAGCGTGAGGTGTAACAGTCAAGTTTGTCCGTACGAGTAGATCCCTGGGGCCACCACCAATCGACAAAAAGTTTATTTTTTCTTTCAAATGTGGACTGTTATCCCAGTAGTTGTTCACTTTTTCATAGTATTGTGCCAGGTAGAGGTCAGGTAGGATTGCTGGCATGTGCGGTGTTGCTAAAGTAATTATGATCTTGACTAGTGACGGATCGAAACCTGGCTCAAGGAAGAGTCCTTTTGCGATAACTCCTCCCTGTTGAAGTAAATAGGTCGGTTTTTTTAAACTTTTAACATATTAAATTTCAACTTACAATAGAATGGCCGATAAGGACGATTGAAGAAGGCTGGCTCTCTTCTCGGTATAGTGAAAGAATCCTGCTCATGCAGATTTTGACAAATTTGGTTTGTTCTTCAAGAAATCCTCCGAACAGTGCGTTGAGGTCTTCGTTGAGGTCAATCGCAAAATAGTCAAAATGGAATGGGCTTCTTGTGGCAAGTGATTTTCTCAGGCTGACTGATGCAAGTGAGCGAACTAAACAAAAACGCATTACTTGTAGAATAAGAAAAATTTAAATTATGTATAAAAAATAATTTGAAAAACTATTTATTATGTATAAAAAACGCTCAACTATTTCTAATCATTTTTGTGACGAGACCAAAATAAGAGATAATCAAAATAAAAACGGTACACTCTTTAATGATAAAAAAATAACAATTTGATAGTTATTCAGATATCGTGAGATGCGGTCGGGTGCCAATTCTTCGTTCTTCTCGTGTAGAAATGTGTAGAGATTAGTGACCGTTAATCGATATCTGAATAACTATCGATTAACGGTCACTAATCTCTACACATAACAATTTGAATTGAACGAAAAATAAACTCTGATGTATGTGTCCAGAATAAAACAATAAAAATTAAAATTTACTTACAAAAAAATAATAAATCTTCGAGAGGAATAAGAGGAAGGAAGATTCGTTTGAACACGCTCAGCCAATATCCGAACAACATCTTTCCTGTAGATGGGCAAAAGAATCGACTCATCTAAAAGAATCGATCGCCCAATCGATTCCTTTAAGTGAATTGCGTTTCACTTCAGGTAACTGGAGGGGACGGATACGTTACACTGCAACTCTGCAAGTACTCGTGGACGGTGGAAGTGTTGAGTGAAGTGAATCACCGCAAGTGCTTCTAATTCGTGACTACTGTAATTTTTTCTCGGTCCCTCAACACCCTTGACGTAACAGATATAGAATAATTAAAGAATAGTTCTTAACATCGAACTGATCAGTATTAATTATGAATCCGACTATTCAATCCGAGAAGCGTGAGATAATTATCAGGACTGGTCCAGGGAAGTTCATCACTAGATACCTCCCGGATCTCTCCGGTTTTAAATCCACCGCATTACCCCTTAGAAAGCTTTTAAGCAAACCCAGGAAAGAAACCTTCCGTCCTGATACCACAGATGGGAGTTCCCTACAATGAATTACTGAAGTTTGTGGGAGACAGTTGGGGTTCCGATGTTAGCATTAACGCAAGTTTGGAATTTTTATATGAAACCATTCAAATACTTTTCAAGGAAAAATTACGAACTAAATGGACCACATACAAAGTAACAATAGGAGACGTCGGAGACACTATCACTCCATTTTCTCTATTGGATGTAACAAGGGTACGTTCTCCGAGACCTCAAGTCACTGGAAAAGCTTTGGAACAAGATCAGGTTTTGGGAAGAGTGGCCGAAATCCTATCAATTTATAGTGCCTATACTGCATCTCGAGGCCCCGGAAATGATCAGATGAGAGTTTTGGGACGAATGAAAACCATCTTAACTGATTCCCCTTATAACCTGAAGTCAATGGACACATCCCCAATCTTGGCCAAAGTGAGTTGGGGGAGTAATGGAAACTTCAAAAAAATAGTAGCTGCAGTGGACATGTTTTTCAACAAATTCCCAGAGAGTGTATATGCAAAAATCAAGGTTACGACATTATCTTCCCGAGATAGGGATTGTGGAGGATTGCATGCTATCCAAGATCTAAGCAAGTATATTGGTAAACCGACTTCTGTTGCTCTATCCTATGCCATGGACCCTAGAATCGGCCCAGAAATAATTAGATTAACCACCGAAAATGATGAGGCAACTGACTCAAATTCTTACTTTCATTATATGAGGGACATGGGTCTTAGTCAGAAAAGTCCCTACTCCTCGTCTATAAACCCAGTAATCTATAATTTTACCTATGCACTGGGCACTTTCCTAGGTGATACTAGGGCTTGCAATGCAAGAAAGTTCTCTGATAAGGGTATAACTAACACAATTAACGTTGCCGCTTACGTCGCCTATTATCTAAAACAATGGGGAATACCAGAGGTCAAGCGTAAGGTTGATGAGCGAGACAAGATGTTTTCGGAAGAAGGCAAAGACGATGAAGAAAAGAACATTCTCTTCATTTTGAAACAAATCAAAGCAAATGGAGGAATCATAACTGAAGAAATAAGGAGGGATCTTCAGAAAGGATTGAGTAAATTGACTGGTCTTTGAACTGGTACCATTGGTCATTATGTCAGTATATCATTTTAAGTTGATCGTAAAGAAATCAATTCTTTACTTTCTGCCAAATAGATATATCAGGGGTTTACACTAAAGATGTATTTAATCATATAAGACTTCACACTTTTGAAGATTGTATTCAGAGACTGTAACTTTAAGTATGTTTAATTGTAACACGGATGTCAATAAAGTATTAAAATGAGGTTAATTCCAAAAGACTTTATATACCAGGTACAAAGATCTATTATTGATTGTAGATATAATTGCTAAGATATAAAGAAGATTAGTTTAAGTCACACCTTATGGTTTTTCTTGAGGACTCAGATTTAATAAATCCTCATTAGGTAATAAGTTAATGAAAAAAAAAAACTTACACTTGTCATTTGAAATAATATTAATTACTATTACCAGGATAAATTTCTTTAACCCTTTTTTCCATTCCCCCAAGTAATCCTTCATTCCATTCACGCACACTAGCCATCCTACAACATAGCTTCTGCTTCCACCTAGCCTTCTCCAGAGAAGGTCCGAAGTATTCGCATCTATTGTAGGGAGGAAGCAATCCGGACATCAAGAAATCGCCTCACTATGAAGACCCATGTATCTACCTCTGGAAGTACCGATAGAGACTGGACTCAGCTGAAGGGGAAGCAGTCAAGGGTCATATTTGACAACCAGGATTCTATCTGTCATCCGCCAAGGAAAGGACATCAATTCAAGAGGCTACCCTAGATGACACCGCTGAAGACACATCCTGTACTACCTTGCCAAGCATCAGAGGAGGACTATGTTAAACATATTTATATCATTATACTGTTAAAAAGTTTTCTTGGTCAGATATGGGGAATGGCGAGGATAATCCGAGTTCGGTTGCATCCGAAATGTTGTCGCAATTGGAACAAAACACCCCAAAGACACAAAAGTTAAAAATAAATGAGATGGCCGGATCTGAATTGATCCCATTATGTGAACTGATTATGAGGAATGACCAATTCATGAACTTAATGAAGAATATTGTAGCGAACGCCTGCCAAAAAACGAAATTTCATTCCAAGCAGGTGAAACCCTTAATAAAGGCATTTGAAAGCCAATTCGAAAATACGGTAAAGAAGAAAGTGACGAAACAGGGAAAGAATCAGCCCAAAATTGAAAATCCGAAAGTTGTAATGGAAACAATTTCAGCTCCAAACCTGAAAAGAAACGAGTGTTCGGAAAGCGATGATTCAAGTTCGGAATCGGATTCAGCAATTTCGGTGGTGGAAGCAGACTTGTTAGCCCGACGAGATCTCGCCGGTGCCTCCAATTTTTGTGACGAGACCAAAATAAGAGAATCAAAATAAAAACGGTACACTCTTTATTGATAAAAAAATAACAATTTGAATTGAACGAAAAATAAACTCTGATGTATGTGTCCAGAATAAAACAATAAAAATTAAAATCTACTTACAAAAAAAAAATAAATAAATCTTTTGAGAGGAATAAGAGGAAGGAAGATTCGTTTGAAAACGCTCAGCCAATATCCGAACAACAACATCTTTCCAGTTTCCTGTCCTTCCTCAACCTTAGGGTCTCCCCACTTGAACATATTATCGTCACAATTTTTCAGCCACTCTACGAAGCTAAATTCATAAATTATTATGGTTGAAGTCACACTTATTATTTCAATTTTTTTGACCTCACCTATCAACAAAATTCCAACTCCTAATGACTACTGCCCTATATCTATCCTATCTAGGGAGGTTAGTCAATATACAAATCTCCAACCACCTAGAATATTCCAATCTTCCTAACCCCGCCAATCCGGATTTCGAAATTGTTTCTTTTCACAGACTGCCTTAAACCAGTAAGCCTCACTCCGTAATGAACTAATAAAAAGTTACGCCCTAATCCACCTTGATTTCACCAAAGCCTTTGATTCCGTCGTTCACACGTCACCCCTATCCAAAACTCAAATCGATTTCTTCCTTCACCAGCATCATCTGATGGTTCCATTCCTATCTTACCGTCACCATCCCTAAAGGCCTCCTCCTTCCTTCTAAAATCTGGTTCCCCAAGGCCCTATCATGTCTCCCATCCTTTTCAGCATCTACATTAATAACCTCTCAGTATTGTAACTATTTTATGCTGACGATGCCAAAATCTACCTGTCCTATCCCTATGAACTACCATTGGCCATCTCTAAGATCCAGAAAGACCTAAATTCCATCAACAACTGGGCCCATGAAAATTCCCTCAACCTCAATCCTACGAAGTCCAAGTCGCCTTCATTAAAAACCTTATCTCTTTTAATTAATCTTTTTATGTAAGGTTTTGGTTGAAATGAAAAGTTAGTGCCACGAGCGGGATTGGAATTTCATTTCAACCAAAACCTTACATAAAATAAGTAAGTTGGTCAATCAGACTACTAAATATAATGAACTTGGGAGTTATGCTTGACCAAAACCTCTCATGGTGCACTCACATTTTCCAAATTTTCCGTTGTTGTATTGCCTCCCCATCCAATTCCGCCTGTCCTGGTCTCTCTTCTTCAACTCCAGCTGTGATGTTTATGGTGGGTTTACAGGGGAGTAAAATAAGCGCCTAAAAAGACCAATGAACTGTTGTGCCAGGTTTATATTCGACATCCCCCGAGGGTCCAGGGTATCACAGCTGTATTCTGACCTTTCCTGGCTCTATCCCTCTTCCCGAAGTCTTTATTTCCTTGGTTCCTTCCTTTACCAGACCATTAACACCCATCGTCCTTATTAATATTCAGTCCGTTCGATTCAAATTCCCTTTCCACTCCTGCAATACCCGATCATCTCCCTGTGACCTAATCCTTTCCCGGTGTAAAGCCTGCACCTTTAAATGTGCATTCCTTCTATCTTTGTCCAACCACGATAAAAAAAATTCCAACTCCAAGCACAAAATTCTGGAACTCTCTCTCCCAACTATCCGCAACGCCACGCCCCTTACCTTTTTCAAACATGCACTTCCTCTCCCTCCAAACAGTCTCTATTTAACCACAGTTTAAATTTTCTCAGTAATTATTATTTTTCTATGTTTTGGGTTGTTATTATGTTGATCACCATGACAAGGTTTACTTTTATTTTTGTATCAAGATGTTAATAATTTTCACTATGTATTATTCTACAGGGACACTCCTTTCCCAGAATACATTATTTTCTTCTTCTTCTTCTTAAACTCACAAATTATTATGGTATAAGACACACTTATTTTATTTCTTATCTCTGACTTATTGTAATATTAAGGCTGATATCAATCACACCAAGAAAATTTTAAAATTATATAAAACACAACAAATATATCAATCAAGATTATTTTTTATTGGGTCCTTGAAATATGCATATTCAACTATATTATCTAACGTAGATGTATTGCACTATAAACTGTTTCAATTAAGAATCATTTCTCATTATCAAACTGAGATTGGACATTTCCTTAATGGAGATCGTATGTCGACTGGTAAAATAATTCCTGCACTAATCAGCCTGCTATCAGATTCGAGTATATTTATGGAACTTTGCTATACTTATATATGAAAATGTCAAACAATTTTTATATTTTATAACTTTTAAATTTAATGAAATCAAAACTCAACATGTTTGAAAAAGCCCAAAGCCATAGAATCTTGTGATAGCAAGATTATCTTTGCTTTTAATACGGGTTAACATCTGTCAATCTTACATTGTGTAATAAATCCAATAATTCAATGTTTCAAACTTTTTTCCCTTGTCCAATAAATATTTAGAATTTTAAAGAAAATATGTTCTAATTGCATTAAACTGCCAGTTTAAATAAAACTTATTTACTCAGTTATGACGATGAATTGATTAGATTTACCGATTTTTTACACATTTTTTGTTTGCTGTACAAATAAGTCACAAAATTGCTTTGGCACTGTAATCATACCATTTGATCATCATATCCTGTATCATTTGGTAAATTTTCTTTATGAATAAGTGTTGTGTATACAAGTCTTCTTTTTTGAGTTCGTATATGGTGTGGGTGTTAGTGTCTGTGTCTGAGTTGTGCTTGTAAGAAAAGGGTTGACAGATATATACATAGAAAGATATGGATGTAATAATAATGGATAAGATACATAGATAGATATAGTTGCATAGAGACAAAAGAAAATGTTTTTCTAAAACCTACGTCACACCAGACAGCACCTCACGATCCCTGGCTAATCATTGACTAACGGTCACTAATCACCACACATTATATTTTGAAATGTAAATGTAGAACTAGCAATTTTAAATTTAATTTTCTTAGCAAGGCCCAAATTCCCTAGAAATTCAAATAGCAAGTGTCTTTGTTTTTAAACCAGGACAACCCTTCCCTATCTCATAATGTTGTGTAATAAATCGAATAATACAACATTTTAAAATTGTTTAATAAATATTTAACACTAGCTTTATGTTTTAGCAAATATGCTTTAATCGCATTAATTTGCCAGTTTATGTAAAACTTTATTTAGTTATGACCAGGAAATAAATAGATTTGCTAATTTTTGTTGTTCAAATAAGCCACAAAATTGCTTTGGCACAGTAATCATATTAAAATCCCAGGTTATATTTAGATATTTATCTGATGCTTAGTTATAACATCCAGCAATATGTAAATTTTATTTACTTAACACAACCCAAAATTCTGAGAATTTGCAAATAAGTTATTTTTGGTTTTAGCAATTGGCTACATTTCTCCACCTTGCAACACTGAATAATAAATGAAATAATTATATGGTTCAGTATTCATATAATTCGGTATTAATATAATTATATGGTTCAGTACGGCTCAATAAATATTTAGTGTCTGCTTTGTGTTTTAAAGAAAATATGCTTTAATTGCATTAAACTGAAAATTAATAAGTTTTCATATAAACTTATGCAGTTATGGCCAGCAAACAAATAGCTATAAATTTCCTTTAATGAAGATATAGTTAGCATATAAAATGTCCGTATATTTCATCATGTTGAAATCCCAGGCTTATTTTGGTATTTACACGATGCTTAATTAAAACAACCAACAATATGTAAATTGTATTTACTTAACAAAACCCAAAATTCCTAGCATTTACAAATAACAAGAGTTATTTTTGGTTTTAGCACTTGGCTATATTTCTCCACCTTGCAACGTTGAGTAATAAATGAAATAATTATAATGTTTCATTTATTATTCATTTATTACTCAACGTTGCAAGGTGGAGAAATATAGCCAAGTGCTAAAATCAAAAAATAACTTGTTATTTACAAATTCTAGGAATTTTGGGTTTTGTTAAGTAAAAAAAAAAAAAATTATATATAGCTGGTTGTTTTAATTAAGCATTGGATAAATACCGAAATAAGCATGGGATTTCAATATGATGAAATATATGGACATTTTATGTGATAACTATCTTCACTAAAGGAAATTTATAGCTATTTGTTTGCTGGCCATAACTGCATAAGTTTATATGCAAACTTATTAATTTTCAGTTCAATGCAGTTTAATGCAATTAAAGCATATTTGCTTTAAAACACAAGGCAGACACTAAATATTATAGTTATATAGTTTATAAACTTTTATAAAAACTTATTAATTTTCAGTTTAATGCAATTAAAGTAAATAGTGGGAATTTTGGTTTTTTTTTTTAAATAAATACATTTATGTGTCGCTGGTTGAAATAACTTAGCATCGGATAAATACCAAAATAAGCCTGGGAGTTCAGTGTGATGAAATACATAGACATTTTATGTGATAACTATCTCCATTAAAGGAAATTTATAGCTATTTGTTTGCTGGCCATAACTGCATAAGTTTATATGCAAACTTATTAATTTTCAGTTCAATGCAGTTTAATGCAATTAAAGCATATTTGCTTTAAAACACAAGGCAGACACTAAATATTATTCAGTTATGGACAGCAAACAAATCGCTATAAATTTCCTTTAATGAAGATATAGTTATCATATAAAATGTATTTCATCATATTGAAATCCCAGGTTTATTTTAGTATTTATCCAATGCTTAGTTATATTAATCAGCATTATTTATTTAACAAAACCCAAAATCCCAAGAAAATACTACTACTTGGTTCAAATTACGATCGATATTCCAATGAACACAACTTTAACTTGTGCAATGGGCCCTTACCGTTAACTTTGTATTTTAAAGCAAATATGCTTTAATCGCACTAATCCGCCAGTTTACATAAAACTTATTTACTCAGATAAGACCAGCAAACAAATCGAGTTACGAATTTCATTTTGGGGTCTGTAGTCATATTAAATTCCCAGGTCGTATATATTTATCCGATGCTTAGTTATCGCAATCAGCTGCGCATAAATTTTAACTTAAAAAAAACTCAAAATCCCTAGGAATTTTAAATAGCAAGATTGTTTTGTTTTAGTGCTGCTTTCCTCCCCTTGCAACGTTGTGTAATAAATCAAATGATATAATTCTACAAAAGGGCTCAATCAATATTTAGGGCTTGCACGAGCCCTACAACGCATTGAAAAAAAGGAAGGTAAGAGAACTGTTACATAAAACCTATCAGATACTTAGTTATCACAATCAGCAAGCGTTGTCATACAGAGCAATAATTTCATTATTTTAAAATTAGATTGTTAAATATAGGATAATTTTTAAACCTTTTTTTTCTTGCTTGATACAAAAAATTTATTAACTTCAATCAATACTTGATTGATTGCGTCGGTTTTTTTTATTGGGAAGTTAAGAGTAAACTTTTTGGACAAGTTTTCAGAATTTTATAAATTTAACTTTAGACGGTTAGAAGTGTGACATATGCACGGTTTTTTAAAATTAAAGATAGAGGCTGTAGCAATTAATTGAAATAGATGAAGGATAATTAATTACGCTGATGTTAATTGATGGTCTAATTATTCAGAAATCGTGAGATGCGGTCTGGTATGATGAAAAACATTTTCTTTATCGTGCCAACGTTTCGATCTTTATTGAGATCATCTTCAGGGCTCAAACTGTTTGTTTTCTCTGTAACTGTGCCATTCTTGCGTGTCGTGTTGAGAGTGATGGTCTAATGGTGGAATTCGTTGTCCATGATAGTTTAGGTTTTGTTTTTTAAAATTTATGTCTTTATGTTATGACAAGGTGTAATAAAAGAGGGAAAATTGTACCTTGTTTAGGAGAACCACGGTTTCCTGGTATGAAGAGGACGGGTATGCCGGTGAATTTCATCTCCCTGGTCTTCTCGATGAACTTTCCTTCTGAGTAGGCATACAGGCCGTATTTTTTGTAAGCGGCTGTGACATTGACCGGGAGGGAGATCCTCTGGAAAAGGGCCGATCGATAAAGTGCGACTCTTTTTCTCCCTAGGCTATTTAAAAACCCCAAAACAAAAATCTTCACTTACGATCAGTTGTGGGTACATGTACATGTATGTCATGTTGCATCGGTTCTCCTCGTAGTCTGTTAAGAAGTTGTATAGTCCGGCGGAGAAGAAGAGCAAGAAGACGCCGGTGAAGAGGACGAAGCCGATTCTGAGGCCCATGGCTCGCGGTTCGCACTCTGTCACACGTGGGTCGGCTAAGTTGTTTTCATCGCAGCTGCAAAGTTGCGAAGTCCCTCCTCGCGTCGGACGCGCGTACAACGACGGTCGGTTGCGATGCTGACGGCGACTGGTCGCAGTCTCGCAAGTCGCAGGACACACTCAGCAGAGACGATTACGATACTGACGACAGCGCAGGCGCTTTTATCACAATCGACCGGTCATATTCGAACTTTCGAACTCATCCCTAACTGTTTTAAGCTTTCACAAATTAAATGTAACGAAAATTTTTTTGTGTGTTTTCTTGAAAAATCTGCTGTGAGGATGTAAATTAAATCATTCGATTGCAAGTACAATGCTACACTTTTTGACAGAACAAAACAAAAAACAGATTCTCGATCTTAAAACAAAATCATCACGGTATTAACGTTAAATTGGCTTTAATAAAATTACTCCTTTTTAAACACATTTCCCTTCTGAAACTCTAAGAAAAGACTATCGCGTTATCGGAGACTGCACATTAATTGATCACAATCTCATTGTCCTGACAGCATCAAATTTAAAATTAGATTGGCTTTTGTTTTTATAAATTTATTAGGTTATATACGTAATACGTAACAATTTTATTTTTTTCTGTTTCAGTTCTTAGTACATATTTGATAAATCTATGTAGAAAAATTCTTGCCACTTTCTTCTACTCTTTGCAATGACTCCAGCACTTTCTGAAAAGCAGATCCGTTGGAAAACGCCCAATTTTGGATTGAAAAACAAATCAATATTTTACATTCCTATTAAGATCAGTCAAGGGTCCCTAAATATATTACACTGATGGACAAAATTAACGCACCCCCCTTATATTTTAATATAATGTCTGTTCATATTATCTCTCCCACTCTCTCTCTTTCTCACGCTCTCTCTCTCTCACTCTCTCTCTCCCTCTCTCGCTCTCTCTCTCTCTCTTTCTCTTTCTCTCACGCTCTCTTTCTCACTTCCTTTTTTCTCTCTCTCTCTCTCTCTCTCTTTCACTCTCTCACTCTTTCTCTCACTTCCTTTTTTTCTCTCTCTCTCGCTATTTCACTCTCTATCACTCACGCACTTACTCTTTCTCTCTCTGACGCTCTCTCTCGCTCACATTCATTCTCTCTCACTCACTCTCACTCTCGCACACAAGCTCTCTCTCTCTCTCTCTCTCTCTCTCTCTCTCTCGTTCTCTCTCTCTCTCTCTCTCTCTCTCTCTCGTTCTCTCTTAGTCTCTCTCTCTCTTCTTTCTGTCCGTCACGCAAAACGCTTGTAAAATGGATTTAGTTTAAAATCGCTTCCTTGTTTACAATTAAACATCGTTTTGTTTTTACATTTGACACTTATCTCTAAAGATTATCTCTTAAACAGAGCCAGACTTGCTCATCAAATGGCCCAGTTTTTATTACAATCTTATTTCATCTAAATATGGCAGAAAAAAATTGTTTTTAGTGTCGTCTCAACGTGCCGACCTTTATTTACCCATTGGATTGCGCTAGGACGAAAAGGTATCTCAAAGTCTCTATGCCAATGTAAAGCTTAAGGAATGGGGTAGGTATAATTATCCCATTCCTTAAGCTTAACATTTGGATGATGCTACGATAAGGTCAAGAACAACCAGAAGCCAATACTGTTGGGAGTGTTGGTAGGGAACTCCTCAAACTGCCATCGGTCGATGCAGATGACCTGGCGATAGCCATAAATGGACGTTTTATAGAGGCATTATGGTGCGGGTGCAATACGCATTCCACAAACAGGCGGTGAAAAAAAGTGCTATAAATAAATCCCAATAAAACCATTGTTTACCTCGAAAAGGGCACTAGGAGGACTTGAGCAACCTGTGCTCATCAATCCTACTACGACATACCAAATGACCAAAAACGTAGATCCAACGGACAATTGGTTAAAAATTAGTCCTCGGTTCAATGAGTATATATTCCAAGAAAGTACCAAGTAACGGCAGAAGTACTAACCTAGGACGTGTTTGGACTAGAATGATAGAAGAACTGCTGTATCCAGAGGCGGTATAGACTCAGAGGAGCAGAACTAAGGTTGAACAGGCATATGCCAGGAAGAAGAAAAAACAGCGGAGCATGCCTTCTGTTAGTGCGAAGGTCTATGCTGTTAGAAGAAAAGCCTTTGGATCTGATAAAGAGCCTTAAATTGATACGTTTGCTCTATAAAACGCGTTTGGGTTTCTCGACATATTTTGTGGAGGGTTACAAACAAAATTATTAGTAAAAACCGAACATCCGGCATCCTGAAAATGAGACGACTTACAGACCCAAAAGACCCGTAACGACCTCTATCACCCTTGTCCTGCTCAAAACGTACTGATTATTTTTAAACGTATACTTGAATTACACAGGTTGATTACTGGGAGAGTAAAAGCCAAAGCTTGGAGGATGCATAATAGAGCTCTTAACGCTTTGGGTTCTGGTAAAAAGAAGCTTAAACAAGAACTCAAGAAAATGATGCATATTGCACAATAGACGAAGTGAGCAAGGTAACCGTTACCTCATCCTTTAGATCTATCATTGTTCTATTCATTTTTAACTTTCCGCAGTTGGGTTTCCCCTTGACTAAATAACTCGCAGCACGCTCACAGTCCATGTAGCAGCACATAACGAACTAAGAATACAAATTAGCCACACTAAAAGATCCTGCGGCCCGTGAAATTATGTAAAAACAAATGCCACATTTTAGAATTTATTTTTTTTTTTAATTATAATTTTCGTAAATCACGGATTAGATCTATTGTAAAAGTTGACTTAAGCCTTTAATTTTTAAAGTAGCACTTGTCCAATTCTGTTATTGATTTAGCTGACGGTCGGTGTTTGAAAGAGAAAAACACGTGTGCTCGTCCCTTTAAATAATATTTACACCCCTTCTTTCAGCTTGAACAATGGAACCAATTTTTCAAAAATTGTTTACACTCCAATTCTGTAATAAACCAAGTCATTTACACTAATCGTGGCTACTGAACAAACACGGGCGCCGTACAAAATTTAAATAATAAAAGCCCGGCTAATCTAGAGTTTTAGACCCAGAAATAGCCTGCTAATAATTTTCCTTATTAATAAACCTAAGTTTTAAAGGAGTGTATTTAAATATTTCAAGCTGCGTACAACAGAAAAGTGAAGAGGTCATCAGACATTTCACCAAAGATGCCAGATACACCTCGCTTATTCATCTCCGTCTCAAATTAAAAATTAGGATGTGCTTGTGCTTTTAGTCATTTTTGACAGCTTTTATATACTATCCAAATCAAATTTTAACAGAAGAAGAAAAACTTTTATTGAAAAATAATATACAATTTTATGCCTTTTTTTTGTGTGTGAGTAAAATAAACATTACAGCATGACCGGAAGTTCAGGTCTACTTTGAAAAAGAAACAAATGTAAATTTGAACTTGACAAAAGAAAGGAAAAGAAAAGTAAGCAAAAACTGAACATAAGAATCAGAACTGCAAAAAGAATACAAAATGGCGAACCAGAAGATTAATTTAAAATAAAAGGAATTCCTTGAATGTATGAAATAAATTAAAAGTACTCATGGATCAGAACAGTGAATTAGAAATTGAATTCTATAACCAAAAATCGACGGTATCTCCAGGTTGTTCTGTAGAAGTCAAGACGTTTTTCCATCCAACAGCAAGCTTAACGACTCTTCATGTGTCAATCGCATTTTCTTAGTTTGTCTTGAGATGGAATGTATTTATTAGTGTGAATGTATGATGTGAGAGAGTCAACTGCGGAATACTGAGTACCATCGACCTTTTCGTCCATGTTACACATTGAGCACTTTGACTGTCTGTCTTTATCTTCGTCTAGGGTTTAGCGTCAAGGCTTAAAGATTCTGCCCTTAAGCCGAAGATCCACCTCGATACAGTGAGGTTCTCTCCTGCATGGTTTAAGCGCTATTTAGATTGAGTCACTTTTGATGAACACGAAGTGAATCATCCTTGATTTCACATTTGCATACAGTTGTTTTCACTGCTCAGTGTTCCCTTTTCGCGTAAAAAGTGCCAGGATATGTTCGAGGAGGAACTCAAGAGGTGTGCGTACAGGCATTGACTTCATTTCACGCGGACTACTTCATGAACTGAACCCAAGTATATTAGCAAGTTGTGCTCAAAGACGTTGGTGGGTGAAACCATGGATTTCAAGGAGAGAAAGTTTGGGTTCGACTGGCGAAAAGGTGAAATACGGAACAGTGAATGCGAGGGGGGACGTTTCTTTACATTTCTCACTGCGCCTTCACTCTGGATGAATCATCGGTTGGAGGAACGACTCTTTCATGAAAAGTTAGTTGGGGGGTGAACTGGAGGAATTGAATATGAATTTGCCACTTTATATGATTCGTTCAAGATGATCTTCCGAAGTGACAAATGTAAACGATCCTTTACTAATCTTGAACGTTTGGTGGTCATCCTCCGGTACAGCTTAAAATTGTTGATCGGTTGAGCGAGCCTTTTGAAGTTTGTTTATTTCTCGTCGGCGAATCTTTTTAAAAATCATTTTACGTCCTTTTTTAGTACTTTTTCATCCATCCGTGAGAGGTGATCCGGTATATGGGACTTCCTTACCAGACACGAGAAATTGCCTGCCTAAATTTCCTTTAAGACTCAGTCCCAACGCTGCCAAGCTTTTTCCTTTTTGCCAAGCTTTGCTGAGTCGGTCTTCAAGGAAATTTGAGATCGCCTGTAAAAAATGTAAATCTGTAGACATATTTAAGGTTGTTTTGCCCAGATGATGACCTTAGAATAGGCCATCCCTATTAAACCCTAACCATCCCTAGGCCGAAAACTTGGCAGTAGCAGCTGATCTTTCTTTCTTCTTCAAGATCATACCTTTATCTAGAGTATTTAATAGTTCTGCCATTAGTTTCTGCGATGGAATGGAATTTATTCCCATTGAACCGGACTTATCCTAACCTATGGCTGATGGATCGTTGACTGTTTGTCATGCCGCAAAAGGGTACAAGGCCGAATTTTACTGGGTGGTCCGTCTTTTCTTGCTAGTTTGTGTTCCACTATTACGCGTATCGGCTTCAATCTGTCTTCTGTAAGTAACTATATTTCATAGTTTTGTGTCCATTTGAGCTAACAAGCTTTTTAATCAAAAACTCCTGTAAAACTTGTTTTTCAAAACCATTCTGTCAGGAAAATGTTCTCATCTCGAGTCTTGTTTGGTCGGCGGTTAAGAAAATAATCGGCGAAAAACACTTTTCGGATGAGGAAAATCTGGGCAAGACGTCAAAAAACTTTTTCGTCCGTGATACTCCTTTGTCCTGTGCCAATTTTCCAATTATAAGCATGACACAAGTTCTTTAAACGGGTTGAACACGAAAGTCACGAGACCGAACGATTTGATTCCGATTTTCCATGGGCCTTTTAAAAACGATGCCCTTGATTTTTTTGATATTATAAGTAACGGACGACCTGGCGTTTTGCCCTCGCGTTGACGCAGGCAGTATTTTTAAAGAGGATCGCCACGTACTTCCAAATGTTATTTCCGCGTACAAAACTAATGAAATCGGAGAAACATGAACGAGAGCAAAACCACAAACCGTAATCGTGGTTTTACAAAATTATATGAAAAAAAAGACACATGCAAACATGTGCCGAGTTGAGCCTATTCACTTCTCCTGGTCCACCGGCAATTCTAGCTTTTGCTATTTATAGCAAACTGCCGGCAGACTGGAGAACCGCAGGTATTGGCAGTCCAGGGGCAGACCTGAGTCTTAGGTTGAGCGTGACACATTCACGCTAATAAATACAGTCACTTTCAACACAAACTAGATGTCATTATTATTACTATGTACAATAAAACAACCCTGTTTTCTTCAAGAATCGGAACTGACGACCTTACGTGCCTTTGGCCCAAAAGTGTCCGTGAGTCAACCTCGCATGGCCTATTCTTAATCGGGTGAGGATGACCCTTCTTCAACAAGTCACTTTCTCCGAGGGCTACTTATCGATGCTCTTGATACATGATTTCTGCTTGTTTGTTTTCAGTCTGGGACATATATTATAATTTATCCAGGAATAATCTGGATCTGGTATGATATGGATGAAAAAACAAATTCAACCTATTTTGAAGGTCAACATCAGGGCAAAAAATCTTAAAGAAGTCTACAAATTGACACAATTAAATTTTTAATAGATGATTTCAAATTTCTTTGACGACCGACTCAGCCCAAGATTGCCAAGGACTAACTAGGACATATTAGGTTAATTATAATTTATCATGACCAACTCTTTTTTCCCTTTTCTCTGGCCTTTTGGGTCATACAGTTAGTAATTCTATCTTTTTTCTTTATGTTTTTAAAGTAGAGTCTGAGTATTGTCTCAAGCAGTGCGATCACCTGGATCACAAATGAAATATTTTAAAAAATTTATACAGAGCTAATTTCAAGTTATATATTGAATATAAGAAAAGATACATCAAATACATATTTTATTAATCCATATAATTTAAAACTGTCGATTTACAAACAATATACAAAAATATGCGTCCATCACAATTATTTACAAGTTACATTCGTTTCGACTGTACAAATTTCTCCTAAGTGATTTTTGAACAATCCCAAATTTTGTAATGTCGACAATTCTTAATTCAACTACCCTAGTAGCGGCGGTACAAAGCTACCGAGAAAAATTGGTGTATTTCATTACAAATTGTGTCTGGTTTTTAAAACAGTACTTAAAGATTAAACATTCGAGTACCAACTGTTTTAGAGCACCCGTAATAATGAATGCTTTGCGCATTCACGCCCCCTGTTTGAACTAAATGAAACAATTTAGTTAAATTATCACAGCCAGATATTTTCTCTCTAGGGAAAGCACAGGGGAAAAAACTCAAACAAAAAATCTGTTTCAACAAATTTTGGAATATCATGGTAATACTAAAGAGGTGGGAGAATATTGTCAACAATAATAAGGGTTATTCTTCATAATCATACATTTTCAATTCAATTTTTCTTTTTTTTCTTTTCAAAATCGATACTGAAGACTTAAGATTAAAGAAAATAGGATACTACACTAGTTAATAAACTTTATACATTTTCATTTGCAATTAAGCAATGATTTAAAACACTCTAATTCACCAACACCAGTGATGCACACTTGTAAAAATAAGTTCAACTGTCTCTTAACTAGAAATTACTTTTATTATAATTTAAAAAAATCAAACTTATCTTTTACCCATTTATTTTTTTTAACAATAATGTTCTTAAGATAAGTAAATGGAAGATAAAGCAAGTTTAAAGTAAAAATGACAAAATGCAAAACAGTAAAATAAAAGCACCGTAAAACATAGAATACCATAACTCAGTTTGGAAAGGGTGTAAATAAAACATCAAAAAGCGAATGCACTTGACAAGTTATGCAAAACAGTGATTTAAAAAATATATATACATTTTTCAGGTTAATATTCACCCTGTCATAAGTCAATAATTAATCTTTATGTTTAAATATCTAACAATAAAACAAAAAAAAATGTTGAGTGTCGAGAGAAAGAAGATTGTATACTAGAATATATAGTATAAGTTTAATTTATATATTAGTTCTAATGTAGTTTATATATCATATTTAGATTTAGCCCTACTGTTTTTTTTGTTTTTGTTTTTGGTGGGGATGGACTAGTGCAATTTGAATTTTTTTTTTGCAGTTTAGTTAGTGTCTTTTTCCATTGACATTATCATAAATGTCATGATCGAACAACCATATGTTTTTGGAATGGGAAGCCTTAATAATCCAGGCTTTAGTTTGTACCAAAAACATTTGTGGAAATACAGTTGCTGACTTTTTATTAGATATTTTATACATTTCATCATCGCCGTGTGCAAACACGCACACCCATACATCAAAATATTGCAAAAACTACCCTTTTTTACTATTGTAATTAAAGTTAATTTATTTATACATGCTATAATTAAACTTCTAGCGTCTGTAAACACTGATGTAAGATATCATTAATCATATTATCTCGCTCAATTGGTTATATTTATTTTTTATATCTAGAAAATGTAAGCTCTAAACCAAAATTAATTTCCATGCATTGTAATATTTAGAAGAAAAAAAATGTTTTAGAGCAAAGTGTATCACAATGCAATGCAACAATCTGATTATTAATTGTGACACCAAGGTTAAAAATGTTTTCAAGATATCAATCATCATTACTGATTGTACAAAGTACTGCATGTCAGTGAAAAATGCTTCACCAGAATTCATTTTTCTATATAATTAATTATAAATATAATAAAAAAATAACTATAAATATCAACTGTATTTATGATAAGAGGAAAATATTTAATTTCAAGAAATAGTTATACATAATCGCACTACATTACAAAACTAGAACAGACACGATGAAAATTTCTTCAAAATCATTATGACTAAATTAACGGTAACTGGATTTTTATCAGCTCTAAATAATAATAATTAATTAACCAGGTACAGTATTTCCAAATATGTCAAGCTGATTGATTATGAGTTTGTAGTACAATTAAAATCCGTGCTTATTTTTCACCAATTGCTAAGCACCCGTCGCTTAAAATTCTTGTTTTAATTAATTGATTTTCTTTAAGATACATAAATGTAGAATTAAAGGAGAAAAAATCTCTGATCATGAGTCAAATAAAATGTACAAATGAAGAAACTAACAAAACCATGGGAGGCCTGTTTTCTCTAAATTTTTTCTTTACCCACTTCTGTGGAATAAAATTTAAGTCTTTAATATCACAGTCTTTGTTAAAAATAATAATAATAATAAAAATAGTTTCAAGTGAATAATATAATAATAATAATAATATATAAAGGAGACAGTTAAGAGGCAGTGAACTATGTTCAAATTTGTTTTACATAGCGGCTTCAATTGAGTTTTTACTTACCTCTTTCCGCCTGTTTATACCAGGGCGCCATGCGCCGTTTTCCTTTCCTGCTTTAAGCCAGGCTTCCTTTTCCGGCGTTCTAACCTCGTCTTTTTCTTTCACCTTTGCTTCAGGCTTGACCCGCCTCTTGAAGACTTTTTGCGGTGACGCCTTTTTCTGTTGCGCCTGATGCTTCGATGGAAGCTCGTAGAACCACTGCGGCACTTCGAGCGACTTGTTGCAAGGGAAGGAGAAACAAGGGTCGTAGTAGTGCGTCAGCCCTGGTTCTGTACGTAGGAACTGCATCGATGACCAGCTGTGATAGAGGAGAAGTGGAAATCTTTGTAGCCAATAATTAACGTAGCTCTCTGCTGTAGTGCCCAACAATGCCTGCGCCTTTTCAGATAATTCCCGGTAATGATGTTTCTAAAAGAAAAATATACATATATATATATGTAGTAATAAAAAAATTCCTATCATGCAGAAGGGTACCCATTAGGTATCATAGACAAAGGGGTCCAACCAGTTTATTATAAATTTTCTATATTATGTTCAATTAATTATAAAAGCCAAGGCTATGCTGGGATCCACACCCCAAACTGCTAGCAAGTAGTCAGACACCCTAACCACTCAATACCGTATATAATTTTAATTTTTTAGTGTGTGATGATTAGTAATCGTTAATCAATAATTATTCAGAAATCGTGAGATGCGGTCTGGTGTGACGTAGGTTTCAGAAAAACATTTTCTTTATCGTGCCAACGTTTCGATTGAGATCATCTTCAGGCTCAAAGTGTTCATCTTCTATGTAATTGTGCCATTTTTGCATGTCGTGTTGAGAGTGATCACTAATCACCACACATTTCTACACGAGAAGAACGAAGAACATGGGATTCTATGAACAAATTTCAACTACATATGGACACGCAGCTAAAAGTACTAGGACATCGCCAACAATGAGAAGAAACTCGCATCGGCTATCAACCAGAGAACTTTTTTGCTGAAATGCAGTCAACACAAGGTATTTCCTACTCATATCAACAACAGGGCATTCTGAACACGACACGCAAAAATGGCACAATTACACAGAAGACAAACACTTTGAGCCCTGAAGATGATCTCAATAAAGATCGAAACGTTGGCACGATAAAGAAAATGTTTTTCTGAAACCTACATCACACCAGATCGCATCTCATGATTTCTGAATAACTAATTTTTTATTAGAATGATTGTTCCTACCTTATTTCTGAAGGCTCTCAATAAATCCCTAACGCTGTCTCCTCTGTACGATCTGTATTTTCCCAGGTCTTGCAGCACATCAAAGTCTATAAGCTCTTTCCAGTCTCCTTGGCATACTTCAATTCCTCCGGTTTCTAAACTTAGAAGAGCCTTGCTCTCCGAATCTTCCTTTTCTACCCTGTCACTCACATCCTGAAGAAACAGAAACAATTAAGCAAAAAAAAAAAAAATGCACATTTAATTCGAGGTTACAACGCCAACCTGCAGAAAGGACAAAATGGTGGATTTTTCCCAGAAGACAGGATGCTTTCTTACAGTCATCGCGCTAGGCCTTTCAAAAGGGTTGTGGCTTATCATCTTGACGATGAGAGACTTCCAAAGTTCATCTTCCAAAGATGATATTCTGATTAAAAAAATTTAATATAAAATTTTCACGATAAATTTAAGTGTTTTCTAAATAAAAACTGACTTGTGCTCTCCATTGAGGATATTGCTCTGCCTTCTAATTGGCTCTCCAAATGGATGTTTTCCATTTAATAAAGAATAATAAAAGACGCAGCCCATTGAAAATATATCGACTGCACACATCTTTAAAAAAAAAAAAATAAATAAATAAATAGCATTAAAAAACAGTATGTATAAAAGTTCAATGTACCACTCGTCCATTTGAATCAATCATTTCTGGAGCAATCCATCCTTCTGTGCCTGTGATCCCAGAGCGTTTACTAAAAGAGACTCTGCCATTTTGCAATTTTTTGCACAATCCAAAGTCAGATATCATGACCTTAATGGCCAAGGTGCCTGGGACAGTTGCAAGGAGGATGTTGTGAGGTTTGATATCCCTATGTACTGGATAATAAAAATTAAAATAAATTCTGTGATTTTTACATTCTTGCAACATTATAATGACTATAATTTACCAATATTTAAGGAATGGAGGTGCTCCAGTCCAGAAATTGCTTGTCTTAGAGCCTCAACTACATCGAGGTCGTCTTTATGTATTCCTTTTTCAACAAAATCCTTTAAAAAAAATTATTACTAAAATTTATTCTTGATATATGATAAAAGAGATAATATAAATTAATACCTGTAAGGTTGCAGAACACAATTCTAACGCTATGTATCTGAACTGTGAGTCTTCCTCCATTGAAAAATATCTAATAACATGAGGATGGGCATCCGATTCCCTAAGGAGCTGCACTTCCCTGTCGGCGACTGTAAAACATTCAGGAAGGAGTCTTTTGACTGCAACACTCCTGCCGTCGAAGGTGCCTTTGAAGACGAAAGTACCCTCGCACCCTTTGCCCAGTATTTGCTGTGTGTCGAATGAAATCTTCCCGACGGCAACAATACCCTTTTGCTGGTTCAGCACAGCACCCTGTGAATTGACGCCTTGCGAACTGCCGTGTGACGACTGCTTTATGTCCCTCACTTGCGCCATTATGTAGACAAACATGGCTAACACGAATATGATAAGAATCGCAACTATTATCCCTAATATTTTGCTTTCAGGGCTGAAGTTCCAGCTCAGCTCTTCTTTTTCCATTTTGTAGCTGGTCTTCCTCGTGAAATTGAAATGAGAAGCATTTGGCTGGATGATCGAATCTGACCTTCCGGTGATTAAAAGTTGCGTTTTTGACACTGATGATATGAGGTAGTGGCCTAAAACCAATATAAATAGTTTTCCTTTATATCTATAAACTTATGTGATTTACAATGATTAATTATACTAATTCAACATTAATATTAACAATTCATTATTTGAAGAACGTGAGGTGCAGTCTGGTGTGACGTAGGTTTTAGAAAAACATTTTCTTTATCATGCCAACGTTTCGATCTTTATTGAGATCATCTTCAAGGCCTGTGATTTATAAACATTGTTTAAATTATACAAATACATGTAGGATGTGAAAAAAAAATGTGTGTTTATAAATCCCCGGCCCTGAAGATGATCTCAATAAAGATCGAAACTTTGTCACGATAAAAAAAAATGTTTTTCTAAACCTATGTCACACCAGACTGCATCTCACGATCTCCAAATAATCATTAACTAACAGTCACTAAATGCCACACATTAACAATTCATTTGCAATTATAAACACAAAAGTTATTTGCATATATAATTTAAAAGTACGATACAAACTCAAGGTTGTAAGATTGCAGGGAGAGGCAGTAGATGAATGGTTCGGGCGTTAGACTCTTGGTCATAGTCTGATAGATCATGTGTTCGATTCTCACCCTAATATTTCTCACCTCTGCCCCTCCCACAAAAAAATTAACATGCAAATATGTAAAACATAAGACTGTATATACATTTAGAAAAAAAAGGAGATAGATGGCAGTAGCAATTAAATTTATTTATGGATTAATTTTCTCAATCTCTACAAAAATTGAATCATTGAGAAATATTTCTTTTCTATATATTTCACTTGGGAATATTTTGTTTATTTATTTATTTGTGTAGGTATTTCAACTACAAGGTCATATTAACCCCTGAGGTTCCGGTGTTTTTGAAAAAAAAAAAAAAAGAAAAAAGTATGTTGTATATGAATCAGCAAAATATTTTTAAAAAATTTGTTTCACTAATTAAATTACCTAGAATGATGGAATTTTCTTCTTCAAGTAAATCAGGCCCTGTGATAAGAAGTCGCTTTGATATGTCGGTGATTAAAGGCACGCTTCTATCTGCAAGTGAAGGCAATGCATAAAGTCCATGGCTGCCTTCCCCGATGTACAGAGTCGATCTGAAAATAATCATATTATTTTGTGTAAACGTCTCGAAAATGTAATTAATTACGTTAGCTGGTCTTGGAGGTAGTTCAGAGAAGAATCTAGTGTCGATTCAGCGATCGAGTGGTACGGAATAGTGAGTATATCCTGCCCTCGTCTCACATACAGTCCGATGATAGGAGAGCCGAAATCTTTTTCCCATAATAGGTCACCGGTTTTCCTGTCGACAGTTTTCAACCTACCAGAGGAAATACTTGCAAAATGCTTACTACCTAAAAAATATAAAATAATTTAACATTAACATATTATTATACAGTTAAATTTAAAAATAATTACAAATAACAACTAATTACTCTTCATCGAGGAGGGTCTTTGAAACAGATTGTTGGTAATAAGTAGTTAAGAAAGAATAACATTTCTTGATTTAAAATTTTACGGAATTATGCAGTTTGGTCGGTTCTGATCATCCTGACCTGCCTATCTTCTTCAGTTGTGTCTAATCATCAGGCCAACCAGAGCAACATACACAAACCTATTGATCTTTACATATAACTACTAATCATTATTTTTGTTTTGGCTGGCAGTGCATGTGAATGAAACAAGGGGCCGGGTTGTTAAGGCATCCGACTCATTTCATTCTTATTTTGACAATGGACAATCATACGTGAAATGGGAGTTTGATCATTTCAAACGGCTAGAAAATGAGCTGAATTTATTTTTTAGGGACTCAAACTTCTACGAGGGAATAACTGGGCTAGTAACTCTCTCGCCAAATTTTTCTGGTTAGCTGGTACTTAAATACACTGCAATATATATTTATATATACATACATACATATATATATATTTTTTTTTTTAATGACTTTTCTCAAGGCATGCTCACAATAACAGAGGTCATATTAACCCCCCCCCCCCCCGGGGGTATCATTTTTTAAAATTAAAATTCAAAATTGTTTGGGCCCACTGAGATTAGAACATGAAATCATTTTTATTTTATTTTTAATTTTAGACCAAGAACTTATATATTTTCTTAACTGTTTTCATATTAACAATATTGTTTTTCAAATAGTTGTGAAAATATTGTATAAATTTTATAGTAAATTCTAAAGATTTTTACGAGCATGGATATTCTAAAAGACCATCTTACCATAGCTTTTCAGTTGATCGTTTGATAATGAACTTGAAGCATAGTTTGAGAATGTAATATTCCAGTATCTATTATTATTTTTGCTATCGTACATAAGAAGATTATATTCTGAAAAAAAAAGTCCAAAAGACAGGCAATGAAATTATTTACACATGTGCTGTACTGTTAACACAGTTGTGTGATCTGTGTACCTGTCCGCCCAATAAAAAGTGTGTTGCTCGGGGACTGGAGCGGGCACGTCTTCTCAAATTCCTCAAAACCGAGGAGAGGCAATTTTTTCCCCGAGTGGAGATCAACAGAAAACCAAGTGTCGACTTTTCTCCCTGAGTAAAAGACGCCATCACTGCTCCTGCAGGGCGAGGACGTGACAAGTTGCTGGATAGAGAAGGGAAGCTTCTTCAAAGACCTCTGATTAGCATTGTTCAAAAGATACAAAGTCCCATCTTTAGGATCCGGCAAAAAGACCGGCCTAGGGAGGAAAAAAACCATTAGCTAATTTTCCTAAGTCTGTTTGATTTAATCCATTGACTCGTTTCTTACTGTATATCTGTCTTTGAAGTAGTAGAAACTTTAATTGCAGGATCTGAAAATATAAAAATGATTATGGACTATACAAAAAACTTACAGATGATAGCATTATCTGTTTAATGTCTTCCATCACACCAAATTACTCCCCTTTTTGATAACATTTTTACTCCCTTTCAAGATAAATTTGGTACAGACGCTCAACATTAGCAGAATTTAATAAAGTCAATGTGATAATCTATTAACAACCCATTTAAAATGACATCATCATAACTTTAGCAGAATTGAATAAAGTCAATGTGATAATCTATTAACAACCCATTTAAAATGACATCATCATAACTTTAGCAGAATTTAATAAAGTCAATGTGATAATCTATTAACAACCCATTTAAAATGACATCATCATAACTATCATTATAGGTTGAACTTTACAACTAAAAACTGATCAACGGCTGGCATTATCGAATAATCTAAATCTCCATATGGTCTGGATGAAAAAACAAATTCAATTGTTATCTGCAAAGCTTTCAACCCATTTTAAGATCTAAAATAGGTAAAACTTTACAGATGACAGTTTGCTTTTTCATCCAGCCAATACAGTGATACAGATTATTTTTAAGTGAAACAGTGGTCGATACATCAAACACTTTAAACAGAAAATTCTCAATTTTAGAAGAAAAAAAAATTGCTTCAGCCAAAATATTTTATAGTTAAAATTTACAAGCGCATGCTTGTGTCTTAAACATATCATAAAAAACATAAATAAATTATGAGTTTAATAAAAATGCTGTAAAGAACTTTAACTCAACTCCAAACTTTACAAATGTTCAAGAATTTGACTGTTGACTTGAACAACAATTATTAAATCATACCGAGTACAAAATGTTTTGTCATTTAGATAGGTCAAGTTTAATGGAAATAATATTGTTTTTTTATTGCATTTTTTTGTAATTAGTTAATCTTTTTATGTAAGGTTTTGGTTGAAATGAAAAAGTCAGTGTCACGAGCGGGATTCAAATCCACGGCCTTCGGCTCAATACACCGCTGCTTTACCACTTGAGCTATCGTGACTTCGATCCACTCGGACACCAACTTCCCATCTCAACCTACCTTTAACCTTCAGCCGTCAGTAGACCACGAAATATAATGGATTTGTAATTAATTTGATTTTCCTGCTTTGTTTTTGTTTTTTAACAGACTGTTCAAACCTAACACAAAAATGTTCTCCGAGTTTGGACGGGCCATTCTTAAAGGTGTTTTTCCCTCTTCCCCATTTTTCTTTTGTTCCTAAGTTTATTTGGAAGTTTCGATTAAATTCAAACATCCTGTTCATGACATCTCTTGGAGCCATGAGTATTCATTATGTTGTTGCTATCTCTCCATTTTAGTTTTATTCCTGTTGGAGGTTTCTCTTTAATAATACCAATAATAGTTTTCTGTGCTGTCCTCATTATCTATGGCGTACGGGGATTAATCCCAGTATCTTTTCCATACTAACTGTGGGGCATTCTCATTGCTGCCATTATACAGATGCATGCAAGTCTATGTACTTTTGTGAGTTCTTTTCGTTTTGTTATTTGTTCTACTTTATCGACCCAGGCTATGGCACCGTAAGAAAAAGTCTTACCACCAAGTGTACATCCAAAGGCAGGTTTCCAGTCTGCATCACCAGTTTTTCCCCGACATGAAGTTTATGTCGCTATCATGATGGTGGAACCGGTATGTTCCTTAAATGTCAGTTTTTATATTTTGCCTTACGCTATGTCTGTTGTATATAGTCTAATACTAGGCTACTTCTATAATGCCCTGTGTTGGAGTCATTATTCCTGCTCCTTTTTGTAGTGGAATGAGAAGAACCCCTGCCGCTGTATATACGCTGAAAGTATTGATCGCTCAGAGGATCTTTTTCTCTGTGCATCTTTCAGCTGTTTTCTTCCAGTTTTTCTTTCTTGTGTTTATGTGTTCTCATATTTTCCAGGGGTGCGTTGTAAGTACTGCCTGGATAATGTGTACTTAGAAAAAACATTGCTTTTTGTTCGGCATCTTCTGTATAACTTGCTTTAGGGCAGTGTTATGTCTATCCTTTGCTAGTGCTTTGTGTAATCTAGCTGCTGTCAATATGAGATGATTTCTCCGCAGAATTTGTGAAATTCTTCTTTATTCGCCTTGAGGATAGTGTGGTTATATAAGGTGACTAACCTTGTATATTCTCCCCAGTTGCTTGCTATTTTTGCTCTGTTGAATGCTCTTTTGGTTTCAGTTTTTTGTTCCTCCAGGGTTTGTTACGAAGTGCGTTTCACCTTCATGATGGTGGATACGTTCCATAAATGTTAGCATTTTATCTAGTCTGATGCGCAGATATTTGATTTTTTGTAAAAACGACTACGAATGTTTATCAGGGTTGATTCCTAAGCCATCAGTTTTACACTATTCTTCTAGTGATAGAAAAGTTTCGATTCGACAAAGAAAAAATTCAATAAGATTCTCAGACTTTGGGGTGAGAAGAAATGCATTTGAAACATGGTGAAATGATGTGATAACAACATACTAATAAGAGTTTTAAGTTTGTTATGCTTAAAAAGTTGCGTCATCGTCATCATTGGGATCTGTCTTTAATTATTATTATTATTTTTTCAATTACCGTTTTTGAACTTCCAGATGTGTTCGCCGTTAGTCTTGTCGACGGCGATGAGCGAGCCGTCCAGGGTGGAAACGACCAGGATGCCGAAGTCATCGGGCGCGTTGACGGTCACACGCTTATCCGAGACCTGGAACGGGCATGAACAAAATTAAAAAAAAAATTATTATTACAATAATAAATGAAGCCGGCTGGAGTTGGAGGACGTACCTTGTCCACGTCTTCCTCGGCCGAGACCAGGGAGCAGAGAAGTAGCAATATTGCCGTGCGTTTCGCGATCTGGCTCATTTTTATAGAAGGCGTCCGCCTCGCTTTTTCCCATTGAGTCGCCGTACAAATCGAGGCGCAGGCGAACGGACCGCGGAGTCAAACGGCTCCCAGTAAACAAAACGGGCACCGAGGATTCTGATAGACGACAACACGACCGAGACGATTATCTGTATAACCTCCTTGCACGGTTTTCAACCAGTGTGACCACACCACTTTCATAATCCCTCCAAAATTTAAAAAATAAGACATTACACTGGGTGTTCGGCTACCCGTGTACAAACTTTGCTAGGAGATTCTACATTCAAAATGGAAACAAAAAATCTTAATTAACTACAGTCCAAATCTCAACAGTTTCGGGGTTCCTCCCCTTTTGCTGATTTTTTAAGATTTCACGACCTTGCTTCAAATAAACAATGATAGCTCTAAACTCTTTGAAACAATCACAATTAAGAAATTCCATTTTCAAATTAATCGTGTGATTTCTCCTTCCCAATATGGTTTCCTCCCTAAAGCCCCCTCCCATACACCTATGATCAAATTATGCAAACAGTGAACAGGCTGTTGTGCAAACAAGATCCTCGATTGACTATTCACATTTTTTTGCAAACTCCAGTTGCTTTTGTCTTGTTTTAATGGTAACGTGGTGTCTTGCAACGCAGCCTGTTTAGCTGTAATAATTTCTATTGTGTAATATGTTGGTGTTAAAAAAAGAAAAAGGAAGCAAAGATTGGTTAAAGAAAAGATCTGTTTTTAGTCATACAATCTCCTCAAATGTCTTCAATTGAGTTCACCACTTGACTATAAAAATTATTTGCAAATGGACCCCATAACTTATGGTGAATTACTAAAAATGGTGACACCATTTATACAAAAAGAGCCCATACATGATGTGACAGTTGCACAACGCCACTCGTGCAATTAATTTCGAACAGTTTTGAATTTCTGCAACTAGTTGCACAGCACCTCAAACAACACCAACCATACACTATACAATTGTTTGCACAACAGTCTCAATTGTGCAATTTGTTTGTAGGTGTATCAGGGGCTTAAGTGCTCAGTCTGTTCAAACCTCGACTCATAAGGACAGTTTATATTACATTAGACTCTGGAGTCTTGCAAATAGACAGCATTTATACGGACATAACTAAGGCGTTTGATTCCGTTTGCCATAGGATATTGTTAGGCAAATTGGAGGCCTATGGTATCTACCAAAAAAAAAACCATTTGTAAGTGTCGGGTTCGAATGCAGGGCCGCTTCATTCAAGCCCAGGACCTTTACCTTACAGTGATGAGCGCCGTGTCAACGCCTAAACCATTGCAACCACCGACGCCCCTACAGTCCTTTTTTTCAATGGATTGCCAATTATTCTAACAAAAGATTAATTGTCAAAATTGGGAATCATAAATCTTCCCGTTTTGCTGCTTACTCCGGGGTCCCACAAGCTCCCCATATTGGACCATTACTTTTTTTAAACAATTTTTTAAATGACGTTCTTGAATTATTTACAGAGGATGTTAGAGTTTTGCTATTAGCAGATGATCTAAAGTTGTTACGTGCTGTTAACAATACACTTAATGCTGAATCTTTACAGATGTCTCTCGCTCATCACAACTCATGGTGCAAGAAAAATCTATTTTTAAATTATAAGACATGTTCTAGTATCACATTCAGCAAGTCACCCAACACTGTTAATTTTCCTTATGAAATTCAGGGTTCCCAAATTAGAAGAGTAGAAAATGTGCGTGACCTTGGTGTTATATTTGATTCCAAATTAAGTTTTCATGAACAGATTATTCAGATCAGAGGTAGAGCCATGAAAATGCTGGGATTTGTGATCAGAAATTCACAGTCTTTTCTAACAAATCAGCCCTTATACATTTATATACATCTTTAGTTAGACTGCATCTTGAATTTTGTTCACCAGTTTGGTCCCCTTTATATTTAAGAAAGTGGTAAAGTTATTCACTGTATTGATAAACGTTTCCATGGCCATGAGGATTTTGAAGTAACTACAGAAAGCCCAGTGTTAAAATTCATTTATGTTAGATAATCTTTTTCATATCTTTTTTTTCCCCAAAATTCATATTGTTAAGTAATATTTAATTTTTTTATAAAATTATTATTAAAAATTATTCAACTGGCGGATGACATATGCATCTATTCTACTCACAAATCTGCAGAAGCGGCAATTGTGGCCATGGATTCGATGGTGATAAATTTACTGAACACCGGTGGATTAATTATTTCTGAAGAAAAATCAAAAATATGTTATTTTACAAGATCCATGAAGTCTACTCTTCCCGATACTTTGACCCTGGCTGAAAAATCATTTCTGGTGGTTAATGAAGTCAAATTTCTTGGATTAATATTGGATCATAAGTTATAATGGAATGGCCATATTGCTGCAATTGAGACCAAAGCAGAGAAATTTTATAATCCACTAAAATTTCAGGATATATAACCCTACAATCAGTTTACTTTACTACAGGGCAACAATTAGATCTATAATTGACTTTAGATCAATTTATTGCAGACAAGCTTCTAGATCAAACTTAAAGAAATTGGACATCATACAGCACAAATCTCTCAAAACTTGTATGGGATCTCTTAAGAGCACCCCCAATGATGTCATCAAAGCTGACTGTAACGATCAGCCATTTTCACACAGAAGAGAAAAACTGGCAGGACGGTTTGTGTTGCACCAAATGGTGAAAAAAACATCACTTGCTCAGCGCATCTGTGATTTGTCCATAATGAATCTAACAAAAAAATATTGGCAAAAGAAAAAACCTCCACCGATTACCACGAGTTTTACCTCTCTGTCAAAACTTCAAGAAAAAATCAAACAAAGAGATACTAAAAATAATTAGAAACACCCTTAATTGCTATATACTAAAAGACTACTCCAGACAAAATCCTGTAGCGGTTAATCAACAAGTGCATGCTAATCTTCAGGAACTTTTCCCTAATGACCACTTAACTGTTTACACCGATGGATCCCTCATGTCTGGTAATGTTGGATGCTCCTGGTTCTGCCCTAGCATCAATAAAGGGGAATCAATTCCTCTGCCGGCAGAGATATCAATTTATTCAACAGAATTATTAGCAATTAAGGCAGCGCTAACTTTCTTTACACTCAACCTCCCTATAACGAATCTGGTCTCCTACAACGAATCACATTATAATTTGTACAGACAGCCTCAGTGCAATCCAGTGCTTACAAAACACATCTACTAACATCAAAAATTATATTGTAGCTGACATAAAAAATACTGTTAACAATTTTTCCACTTTTAAAAACAAGGTCTCTTTCGTGTGGATTAAAGGACATATGGGCATATACTGCAATGAAAAAGCTGACAAACTTGCAAAAAATGCCCACAGTTACCCACCCCTAGAATCATAAAGACCCTTATATAGACCTTTTTCAAATATTGGAAACAAGAATTCAAATGGCAATTTGAATATTCTGCCTCGGATAAGGGAATGGCCTATAAAACATTATTTCCACTTGTGAAAATAAAACCGCGGTTTAACAAGCTAGACATGGCAAAAAAAGACATAACCACCATTGGTTAAGAACAAACCATGGCATCTGCGCAGCGTATCTTCACAAGATTGGCATAAAACAACACCCTAATTGCGACACATGCGGAGTAAAGGAGGACCTAATGCACATATTGTTTCACTGCAGCCAACATTCGTTGGCCAGAAATGAATTCTACCAGAATCTGAAGAAAGAAGGAGTAGAACACCCAATTACGGATGTATAACGTGATAATAAAATTTTTAAATGATGTTTCTGTGAAAATATAATTTGAACTGTTTAAAAAGTATTCTTTCTAACATGGCTGTGTAATTGTTTGATGCCAAATTTAAAAAAAAAGAAAAAAATATTATAAATTATTAAAAAATAATTATCACTTATGAACTTAATGTCAATTCACTATTTTTCGTGGTCCGCTTGACCAATTAATATCATTCAATTAATTAAGGTTTTAAGTTGAGATAAAAAAGTCAGTGTCAAGAGCGGGATTCGAACCCACGACCTTCGGCTTGATACGCCGCTACTCTACCACTTGAGCTATCGTGACTTCAATGTTAATTTATTTTAATATTGGACAGTATGTTTGTTTTATTTGATTTTTATATATTACGTAGAAAAATATAGATTCGTGTCTGCATGTTTCAAACTATTTTAAACAACAGAAGAACAAAACTAATGACTAAGCCACTCTTGTCTATACTTTTTGATTGTTATTACAATAGAACTTATTGAACCATTCATTTTTCCCATTGCATGAATATTTATATTATTTTTAATTGTTATTTGTTAACAATGATTGGTTGTCATTGAAAGAGGAGAATAACACTTTATACGACTTGAGTTCTTAAAATGAAATTTACTCGTTATTAATAATTAATCCTGCCCACTTCTGATTGTTGTATGTATCAGGTAAATATACTGTATAATAGCAAGATATCTATATAATGCCTTTAATAGTATTATTTGTTTAAAAAAATATTAATTTTTGACTGCACAATATCTTGTAAAATTATGTTTTAGGAGAATTTATTTATAGTTATACGGTAATAGAGTATTTCAGGATTAAATGCTTGTTTGCTCATTATTAGTTACACCTTATCAACTTTGGTCAAACACCTTGTTTTAAAATAGTTTAAAGTTTTAAAAGCAAGCCGAACCTTATATGCAGTATGATTAAATTTCAAACAGTTTAACAGTGATTGGAAAACACAAATGAACAGTTGACCCTGGTATTATTTTTAGGCAAAGTAATATTTATGTTAGCTTTATAATTGTATATTATTGCCGACAGTGTAAAGGTATTTCTAAAAACATGATAGGATTTATAATGAATAAATGAATAATTAGCAATAATTTGTTCACACAATTGTGAATGAATGATAGTAGAAATATACATTTCAAAACATACAACTAATTCATTTTAATTTAACTTTTTTCAGCTTTATAAATCAACATGAAAAATGATTAAAGTAGACCATTGCAATACCTTGGTAAGTCAGAAATATTGAATGGATAATACTATTACATATTTATTTTCATTTTAGAAACACGATATTTTTCAATGTGAGAATGATGTAAAAGGGATGGTTAAATAAAATATGATTTAAAAGGATTTATTGAATTGTATTTTGTAATAATTTCAACAGTAATTTTTTTAAAATAAATTAATTCAATACAACATATGTTTAATGCTTATTATCATATTCTCTAAGCAACAAAACATGGTCATAGAACTACTCCAAAATTACAAGATGTGCAATGACCGGCAAACATAAAGCATATAATTTTGAAGTGCCCAGAATACGAAGAGGCAAGACAGAAATTTTTCGACGAGGTGTATACACTGAGAAATTTTGGGCGACCGTTTTGCTGGAAAAGCTTCCTTTCAACTGGAAATGGATGTATATAAATTGATACATGCATTTTTTGAAAGAATGTGATATTGATTATGATACTGTGATGTCGTCGTACATGCGTGTTATTTATTAGTTATGTGTAAAACTATTTCGCTGTTTTGTTTTTCTTGTTTTAATTTATTCATTTATTGTGACGTGTACTTATTCAAACAAATAAATTAACATAAACCCGAATTGATTTCATTGTATTCTGATTCCCTTTGATGATTTAAGGTTTGATGATATGATTTTGATTCATTGATTCATGGAAAACTAAGTTGTTAGCACTTGCAAATCATTCATTCAACCAAAAACGTATATAGCTTGTTTTTGTTGCACTGTAATTACACAATAATTTTTTTAAACCCTTTACTCAAAGTGATTACATAAATTGCTACCAATACTATTCTATAAATACTATACAAAAAAAAAATGTTCTTTCGATCGTTGAACTAATATTATTACAGAAATAAATAATACTAAGACAAAGCCTGTCTAGATTTGCAATGTACACCATTTTTGACAAAATATGTACCATGATATCAATACTTCAGTCACTCAGTTGACTAGTCTCATTAACCATGGAAAAAATTAAATGATGAACAGCTCACGTGATACTATAATTGTAATTTGGACATTGTATTTCAGAATTATAATTCTGAATTTTTGAGCTTGAATTATTTCTGAAGACCTGGTGTGTAATCTTACTTGCTAAAACTAAGATTTTGCTTAATATTAATTTCTATGTAACTGGTTATGATGGATTCATTCCAGTTGTAAAGAACAAATAGAAGAAAGAATTAATGCAAGGATTCATCACAAAACACCAGTGAATATAATGCTGTCAATGAATTAACTGTTCCAGTTGGAAAGAGAATGGCCAAACTCGATCTAATAAGTATATATATATTATACTACATTCCCCACTGCAGTTGCTCGTCAACTGCCTCTTAAAAAAATACCGTACTCTTTTCTTGTCCAGCTCTTTTATCCAGAAATGCCGACACGACTAGGAATCCAAACGAATACCACTTTTTGTTAAGTGCTTTGATTTCATAAAGGTATTTGTGAATTTCTAAGATGTATGGGTCAACCAAGAATTTATTTTTGATGGCTTCGAGACCACTCTTCGAATCAGAGTAAATAATGGCATTACGCCTTCCGTTTCCTTTATAATGCTCAATGATCTGATCACATGAAGTTCAGCTGTGTATATGCTAGCCTCATAAGATAGAGACGACCTGAGATTGTACTCATCAGCAAATATCCCACACCCTACCAATTTCATTTTTGAACCCATCGGTATAAAAAAAAAAATTATAATTGGGAAATGTATTTAAAATTCGCAAGAAGTGTTTCTCTTTCATTCAATAAGGCCAGATCTTTGATAATTGCAGCAGTAGGTAATGATCACAGTGGAACGTATATTTTATTATTATAATTATTATTAATTTTTAAGGGCATTTTAATGGCTAGGTCATTTCATACCCTATCATTTAAACCTATCTTAGGTTAGCTACATCCCTTCTGAGTACTATGAAGTTCTGACTCCAAACATACACTCATAAACTAATCTATCCTATTATATGTTTTATTATTATCATTATTTATTCTTTTTATTAAGGTTTTGGTTGAGATAAAAAGTCCCGCTCGTGACACTGATTTCTTTATCTCAACCAAAACCTTACATAAAAAGAATAATTAATTGAAAGAAGTAACTTGGTCAATTGACCACTAAAACATAAATGGATTATCATTATTATTATTATTTTACTATGTTTATAAAACTAACTTTATTTATAATGTATGTACATATAAAGGGGCTTAAAGCCCTATTTGTACCTCTAAAATAAATAAAAAAGGTCATTGATGAAAATATTAAATAAGAGTGGAGAAAGGTTAAGATAGGTTAAGAGAGTACCAAGAACGGTATGACCTACCATTTAATCTGGAAATAGTTCTTAAGCATAACAGTGACTTCAAAGTTAATCTTATTAGGTACTTAAAATTGATAAATGCGTATGGATACACATAACCAACCACGCGTGGTACATCTCCATTTTTCAGTGTGAATGTATTTATTAGCGTGGGTGATGAGGTATTTCTGGTCGTGGTGTGACTGAATATTGAGTAGCTCACAGGGCCACCAAATCAGTTTAGGTAATTATATATTTTTTGTGTGATGTGAGGGACAGGTCGCCGCTATCAAGGTTTGTAATCTGCCGATATGCTGCGACCTCTTCAATATGAATGTATTTATTAGCGTGAATGTTTTGTGCAAATCGACTGGAACTAAGGACCTCAGTCGTGCATAGGTACTCTTGAGCCCTGCCAACTGTAGAATAGAAACTATTTTCTTCGGAGTGGGTATTGTAATTTGTGAGTGAGTCTGTAAATATTGAAGTATTTTTAACAAACCATGGAAAAAAAATGGAGAATAGTGAGCCCCTCGGGCCAAAGAAGAAACCTTTGTCATTAAAGTTTAAAGGAAATCGAGAATCCAGACGTCGCAAACTCAAACTCCTATCCATAAAAGGAGCGGTAAGAAGAATGACAGTGCAAAAGAGGAGAAAGTACGAATGAGTGCCTACTGCCTACGTGTAGGTGAACACGTAACGGACCGTTATTGGCGGATCGGCCCGAAGCGCTCGCCTCCGTCCTTCCAGTACCAATGACGTTGGAAACGCCCACCCCGTCGCCAAATCCCTTCCAACGAGTCACGTTACGAGATCGAAAACCAGTCGTTAGTTTTCTTTGACTGCGGAATGTGCCTCTTCGCGCCCTCGACCTGCGTCATTCTCAATATCAACATTTCTTCGATTATTATTATTATTAATTCAATTATGATTAATATCGAGTGAGGAAGACCCCGGATTTGATTGAGTCGTAAGGTGAGTTGCCCAACCCTATTCAATACTGGCCTTATCCCCGCACAATAACTGTTAAAACACGGTTCGGTTTTTCCCCGGTTATATTTTTTCTTACGTGTTTTATCACGACGAATGATTCGTTACTAATTAAATTGCTGACAATGTTGAAATCTGCTACTTTAGGTTATTCATTAAAACCGACATTCCTAACGATACTCGTACTACATCTACACAAATACACCCGAAAAAATCTCATTTTGTTTTTATACAGTTTTACACAGATAGACTAGAATAAGAAAAAAACAAATACGGATTTCCTTGTTTGGTTTTTTCCACGAACTTGTTCCGTCTCGAGGCACCACGTGTTAACACTAATCCAAGTTCGCTCAGTTTGAAGGTCTAGCCTTTCCAGAATAACATTAAATAGTTTAAACCGCTTTACCTTTAACCCATCTATGCCTTGATAAAAACATTAATTAGGTTAATTATTTTAACCGTGAAAAAAAACTCATTTTAATCATTTTAATCCGCTATTGAGCCATGACGAACATTCCATTGATTGTTTGCTAAATTCCGCTAATTATTGTTTAGGTATTAATATCTGAGATGAAAATAGTTCAAGAGTATTAAATACATAAATGGACCCTTGCCATGTGCATACTTGTTCATTCAGTTGGAAAGTACTACTTTAGATAACAGGAAATGCTTCACATATATTTCTACTTGGTACTTGAAAAGTCAATCCCTTTCTTTTCAACCATAATTCTCATTAAATTTGACTCTTGTACTGATTTTGTGTCAGATTTGCTAATAAAATAAGATCCAGTATCGTTTTATTTTAAGATTGACCTATAATAAAAAAAATACTTCCTTTGACTGGTATATTGTATAGTACTTATTGCATGGTTGAATGTGAAATAATTTCAGTAACATTTATGTATATAAATGGATTTTTACACTGTGTATTTGGTTGGAAAGTCAATTTTTTCCAGATAACAAAAAAATTTCACATACCTTTAACCCATAAATCTAATTACACTCTACTTTTATACTGTTTTATTATTTTTTAATTTTTTTACATTTCAAGTTTGATAGCAACAATTTTATATTATTTTTCAATTGTGCAATAATGAAAAATACACTCTTCATTTACTATATTGTGTAGTTTTTTCTACTGTACAGTTAATTTTCTGAATTGAGTCTTTGTTTTCTTAAATGGAAATAATTCACTAGCATTTATGTACAAAAAGTAAAAATTTAATGGTGCATTCGGTTGGAAAGTCTACTACCTCCAGATAACAGGGATTACTTCGCATATGTTTACTTCAAACCCCAATTCTCATTACAATCGACTAGTTGTACTGCTTTCATGTCAGATTTCCTAATAAAATAAAATGCAGCATCGTTTATCTTTCATTGCTAGATTCGGTAGTATTATTATACGGTTAATATTTGGAATTTGCTACACTGAATCGTATGTGGAAACATTTCAGTTATATTTATGTATATGATTTCAACTCCACCATGTTCAAATCACAGTTGGAAGGACAATTTCTTTCAGGCAACATGAATTTTTCACACACCTTTCCTTCAATCCATAAAATCAGTTACAATTTACTTTTATACTGTTTTATCATTATTATTTTATTTCAAATTAGTTAACAGCTTTCAATTAATTAATCCTTTTATGTAAGGTATTGGTTGAAATGAAAAAGTTAGTTTCACGAGCGGGATTCGAACCATTTCATTTCAACCAATTAATTAATTGAAAGAAGTTATTTCGTCAATCGGACCACGAAATATAATGAATTAGTTAACAACGTAAGCTTCACTGTTATATTATTTTTCAATTGAGCAATATTGAAAAATATATTGTACTAGATTGTGTTACTATTGTCCATTTAATTTTCTGGATTTCAGCATTGATGTTTTAGTATGAATCTTAAGTAAAAATAATTCAGTAGCATCTATATACATAAAAAACCTTCAATTGAGGATTCAGTTGGGAAGTATACCCCTTCCAGATAACATAAATTACTTAACATATGTTTCCTTCAACCCATATTTCTCATTAAATTTGGCTTCTGATTTTGTGTCAAATTTACTAATAAAATAAGATACTATATCTTTTTATTTTAAGATTGAGCTATGATTTAAAAAAAAAATGCACCCTTTGACCTGCTATATTTTATAGTTCTTATTATCGCATGGTTAATATTCAGAATTGCTATGTGAAAAATTTTCAGTAACATATATATAAATGGACTTTTATGTTGTTTTTGGTTGGAAAGTCAATTCCTTCCAGATAAGAATTTTTCACATGCATTTCCTTTATCCCATAAATGTACTTACAATATACTTTTATACTGTTTTATTTATATTTTTTCCAAATTTGATAACGACAAGGTGCAATGTTATATGATTTTTCAATTGAGCAAAAATAAAAAAAATACATCTTTTACTGGACTGTAGTTTTTACTATTGAACTGTTAATTTTCTGAATTGCGGCATTGATATCTTAAGTGGAAATAATTCAGAAGCATTTATGTAAAATAAACTTTTAATTGTGCATTTGATTGGAAAGTCTACCTCTGGATAACAGGGGTTACGTCACATATGTTTCCTTCAAACCATAATTCTCTTTACAGTTGACTAGTTGTCCTGTTTTATGTCAGATTTCCTAATAAATAAAATACATCATCGACGTTCATTACGCTTGACCTGAAATGAAAAATATACCCTTTGATTGCTAGACTGGGCAGTTATTAATATTTGTAATTGCAACAATGAATTCTATGTGAAAACATTTAAGTTATGTTCATAATTGGACCTTCACCATGTGCATACTTCGGTTGGAAAGTCTACTCTTTTCAAACATCAATTTTTTAACATGCTTTATTCAACCCATAATTAACATCAATTACAATCGACTGTTGTACTGCTTTTATAAATTTCCTAATAAAATAAAATGCAATGTCATTTTATTTTAAAAATGACCTGTAATGAAAAATAAACCCTTAGAATTTATAAATGATGGGGTGAGCGTGGAGTTCAATCCTTTTTAAAAAGGAATAAACCCTTTGATTGTTCGATTGGGTGGTTCTTATTATTCTATGGTTAATGTTTGGAATTGGAACAATGAATCATGTGGAAACATTTCACTTATATTTATGTATATAATTGACCTTTACCGTGTGCATACTCGGTTGGAAAGTACTCCTTTCAAATAACATCAATTGTTTCATTTATGTTTCCTTTACCCATCAATTTCTTTACAATCGTATCTGGTACAATTCTATTTCAAAATTGCTAACAATAAGATACAATGTCATTTTATTTTACTATAAATAGGTTGTTTTTATCTCAAGCACAATAAGGGAAACAAATCAAATATCATTTTAAAATTGAATTTAGCAACAATTGATAAATGAAAAAAGCCCTCCACTCGAGTGGTAGATTGTGCAACTGTCTACTATTAATGTACAACAATTGTTTTAAATCTCAGCATTACTATCTTAGTACATTTTGTGAAATAGTTCGGTAACATGTCCAAGTTTGAAAGTCTAGTTTTCCTGGATAATTGAAACATACGTTTATATTCTTAATTGAGATTTAGTAAATCTCTTGACAAAATACTGTTTTCTCCAGTATTCGATTGATAAAAGATTTTTTTTAATTTACTCGAGTCACATTGATAATTTTAAAAAGTATATTCGAATGTTACTTTGTATAAGTTAGTATTATTATTGTAAAAATGATGGATATTGTAAATTACAACTTTATATCTTATGGAGTATTTATTTTGAATAAAAATAGTTCAGTGTTATTTAAAGGTTTGCGCTTAAATGTTCATTCAGTTGGAAATTCTACTCTATCTGGATTACAGGAATTGTTATACCTTTTTTTTTTATTTCTATTACCCAATCAGTGACCATTTCTATTGCGAATATGCATTCAAAAAATTACAACACTGATTTCTCTGTTGTCTGCGAGGTGTTAAAATTGAAATTTGGTTTTCCGATACTTGCTGGATTGATCTGTCAGATGTGGCGTGTGGCCATCTGGGACAAGTATTGAAAATGATTAAAACCAAATTTGATTAAAGTTAACCAAAGTGCATAGTTGTGTAATCAGTTGGAAAGTCTAGTCTTAGAAGAAAAACAAGTATTTTATCCTTTCTCTTCCTACCAAAGTCAATGTTTTATCTATTAGATAAAAGTAATTGTATACGAGGTCACGATAGCTCAAGTGGTAGGCAGCGGCGTATCAAGCCAAAGATCGTGGGTTCAAATCCCGCTCGTGCCATTAACTTTTTTATCTCAACTGAAAACCTTAATTAATTGTAAGATATTAATTGGTCAAGTGGACCACGAAATTAGTGAATTGAGTAATTGTATACCTTTCTCTAACTTGTACAATTGTAAGGTAAACACTTTCTTAAGTGTCTTGACCCATAATTCAAGCGTGACTGTTTTGTAATAAAGGGGTATGAAAAGGTTGGTATAATAACAGAAGAAAACATATTATTTCTGACCTTTCAAAAATTAAAATTTGGCACACTAATTTGTAACACCATCATCAAACAAATCCTTTTCCAATTTGAACCTTGCGAGAAAGCTACTTAGTGTATTAATTGAAGGTTACATGGCCACGAGGATTGTGAAATATCTACCAAAAAAAGATTATCTTTTTGTTAAATCATCCAATTAACTGCCCATATGTTAGCTATACTTAAAAATGCCATGTCATTTTATTTTTATATTGATAATTAAATCAAGCAGCGAGTACGTAAAAATTGCAACTTTTTTGAGTGCCAGATCGAGTAGCTTAATTCTTTTATTGCACATTATTAAATTATATTCATGTTAGCTTAATGTTGTATGAAAATAGTATGAGAATTTAATGAAACATGATTGTACCTTTACTACTTCATGCATACCAGACAATTAAGTTGGAATGTCATTCCACCACTTTTTCTAGATTTCACGATGAAAATCATTTTAATGATTTTCTTGTAGCTT